ATATTTTTTCACTTCCTAGAAGAATGAAATTATTAAAAATATGTTCTTACTTATTTACGACTCACCCTGTAGAGTAAACTATTTTTGACTTATTTTTATATTCGTAGAATATCAAAAGATGTTACAATTAAATTAGCCGAAGAAAATTATAATCAATTAGCTTACCTACTCCTAGAATAAGAAGTGGTATTTGTTAAGATTAATCTTAAAAATTAATCATAGGATTTAAATGATCCCATGACCAGTATGGCTGTAAAATTTGAGAATTAAGAGGTGTAGTTAACGAAAAATTTCCTTATTTAGAAATAATTATATCCAATATGGCGGTCATTACAGCTGATAGAATATTTTCATTAAAAGATTCTTATCCAGAAATAATACATGTATTTTGATTTACTGTTATTTCTAGAAAAATCAAAAAATACGTTTGCATTCGGTTCCAAAATTTTTTTGGAAAAATATTCCTACTTTTTATCTTATACAAACCGAAAATGCATTGCTGCAGCCAAAGATGCATCCAAAAAAAGCATTTTTTGAGATGACTTTTGGAAGATTAAAGAACTTTGTAAATAAGAGTCAGAACTGGCCCAAATCGGGTTCCGGGACATCTTCGTGGGGCTCTCCCGAAATTCACGAGGGGAAGGAAAGGTTTTTTTGGGTCGTTGAATTCAAATACGGCATCGGCGAACACACCCCCCAAACACCTGGTGTACCAGTACCTGGACGTGGACGTCATCCTCGAGAATTTTCCTGACAAGATCGCCAAAAACAACTAGAAAATCATTGTGGGCGCGTTTTTTGGGGCGCTGGATTCAAACTTCAACGTAGACGTACCCAAAATCGTTATGAGGGGTTTTTTGGGGCGCTGAATCCGAATTTCACGTCGAAATCGACCCTCCCAACACCTGGTGCATCGGAACCTTGGGCTGGACGTCGTCTCAGAGGGTTTTCCAGACACGATCACGATCGCAAAATACTAACCGAAAATCGTCTTATTCGATTGTGTGAGGAAAACCCTTGCAGACGACGTTCAGGCCCAGGTGCCGGTGCACTAGGTGTTCAGGAGATCGTTTTTGACGTGAAATTTGGATTAAGCGCCTCAAAAAACGCCCCTACAATGACTTTTAGATTGTTTTTGGCGATCTTGTCAGGAAAATTCTCGGGGATGACGTCTATGTCCAAGTTCGGGCGCACCAGGTGTCCGGAAGGTGTTTGAAGATGCTACATTTGAATTCAGCGACCCAAAAAAACCCCAGGCGCCGAGTTTCTCTGCTTCCCCGCGTGAATTTTTGGGAGAGTCCCACGGAGATGACGTTCAGAGCCAGATTCCGGTTCACCAGGTTTGGAGGAGGGGTCGTTTTCGACGTGAAATTTGGATTAAGCGCCCAGAAAAACGCCTTTATAATGATTTTCGGGTTGTTTTAGTGATCTTGTCAGGAAAATTCTCGGGGATGACGTCCACGTCCAAGTTCGGGCGCACCAGGTGTCAGGGAGGGTGTTTGCCATTAATTGCCATTGCCACATTTGAATTCAGTACCCCCAAAAAAACCCTATGAGAATTTTCGGTTCGTCTTTTTCGATTGTGTGAGAAAAACTCACGAAGATGAGGTCCGTGCCAAGGTTCCGGTGCACTAGGTGTTCAGGGGGCCGTTTTCGACGTGAAATTTGGATTCAGCGCCCCAAAAAACGCCCCCACAATGATATTCTGGTTGTTTTTGACGATTTTGTCAGAAAAATTATCGGGGATGATGTCCACGTCCAGGTTCCGGCACACCAGGTATTCGGGAGATGTTCGCCGATGCCATATTTGAATTCAGTGTCCCAAAAAACCCCCGGACGACAAGTTGCTCTTCTTCCCCGCATGAATTTCGTGATGAGCGACCTCGAAAACCTCCGAGAACCCGATTTGGGTCAGTTATCGGACTTTTATTTACAAAGTTCTTTAATCTTCCAAAAGCCGCCTCAAAAAATGAATTTTTTGAGTGCAAGAAGTGTAACCAAAAAAGGCAAGAGTATCAAAAATTACAAAAAAAATACCAAACATTTTGCTAGTTTCATCCAACATTTCCAACAATATTTAAACTAGTACAGAAATAATAAGAAATTAGTTCTGAAAACCCTGTATATTCTTCTACTTATAATAATAAAATCTTTGCTAGAAAAGAAATATAATTTATAGCAAGCAATAATATTAGAAAGTAAATTAGCAAAAAAAATACTAATAAATGATTTATCCATAGGTATATATTCACTAATCAATCACAAAATGGTACAATTAACTATACAAGCAAAATTAGTTGTCAATTTAAAAAAAAAATGGTGTACCTACACCTACACCTTTACCGAATAGGTAAATCTAAGGATTCAGAGCTAAACCATTATCAATATCTAATGCACTTACCATTAAGTAAGGAAAATAAATTTCCATCTTTTTAGCACGTATATGAAGATAAATCACTATTTTTTTTTTAAAAACGTTTCTTAAAATTCACTCAACACTCAAAGTAGCCACCATCTTTTAATTCTACGCAAGTAATTTCTGATTGGATGTTGCGACGTTGTCTTGTCGAAAATCGTAGGCTACTTTGATTCAAAAATCATTATAAAACAGTTTTGTTTACTGCAAAAATATTACCGAAATTGTAATAGAACGAAACGAGATCAAATCAAGGTCAAAGTTTATACAGAATGTCCACTTTACTTTCAGGAATATTCAAATATATTTTTGTTTTTAATTTTAAATAGTTACAGTAATTATACTTTGTTGGCGTGGTGATTTTGATGATACTTTAATGCTAGTACATTGAAGCAATCAGGACCGTATCAAAGGCATTGAGGGGAGGAAGAAAATAAAAAACAAATTGTTTTTATTGTATAATCAGTATAATAAAAAAGTACGAGTCAGACTCGCGCATGAAGGGTTCTGCACCATCGTACAAGATTTAATACTATGTAGGTACTTTTTAAATACTTTATTAAGATCGAACAAAAAAATCCCTTTAATTTTTAAATAATTTAATAATTAAGTAATACCTACACATTTTGTGAAAATTTCAACCTATTACGGATTACAGATCATGAGATAGACGGAGAGCGGAGGCTTAGTAATAGGATCCAGTTGGTTACTCTTCGGTTACGGAACCCTAAAAACTTGGTAGAGTAGGTAGATTTTAACAACCATTTCAACTGTCTGGACTTTGGAGGGGGTACCCCGTCCCTACCCCAATGCAGCACAACGCAAAAAATAGAGTACAGTCATCATCGGCTATTGCGTACACTTTCCGATACGCTTTGTTAATGTCGAACTGAAAACTACATAGAGTTAGCATTAGTTGCCATGTGCGCTGTGTTATGGCGAGATATATATATCCCCACATGCGGCTACTTGTAACTATGTTGATATTATTCGTTTCCTGTTCGCGCTAATATATATGCCACGTCTCTCTGTAGTTTTCACGATAGCCGACACTACATACTGATTTGTTTATTTTAAGATTACATAATGTTTTGTTATACCTATATTTTTTTAAACCCACACATGCACATTATATTAGTTAATCTACGCACAGACTATACAAAAAGAAAATTATGCTATTGCGCGTTCAACTGAGCGAATATATTTCATATCCATTCTGGGTAGTGAGAACACTAAAAAAAAATTAAATCATATTTTGGAGACCCAACAACTATCATATTTTAAATTTTAAATGAGTGACAATTTTGTCAAACTAATAAGTATATTTTTTAGTTATTGAGATTCAACTTGCATTAAAATGAGTTATTTTTGCGTAGAATCGATAAATAATAGCCTTTTAATTTTTATTTGGTCCACATTAAAAAAAAACAAAATAAATAAATTTTAATTAAACTATATGAAACTAATTTAATTACGAGTATTAAAACTAAAATCCTAAAAGTGGCAGTGGAGATGAGGACAGAGCATCTGCCTTCCACGCGAAAAACCCGGGTTCGAATCTGGGCTGTGGACTTAAATTAATTCGTAAATTATTTAAAAATTAGTTATTTTGTCTTACGCCCGTATGCACCGTACACGTTTAATCCAGATCAAGGGTTTAATCGTATTTAGTACCATTTTTAGCTATGGTACTAAACGCGATTAAACCCTTGTTCTGGATTAACCGTGTACGGTGCATACGGGCGTTAATAACCTAAAATTAGGCATTCCAAACTGAATGGCTACCAGTGGGTTTTGACGGGTTATGATATGGCAAAATTATGGCAACCCTGTAGGCCTGGTGATTTGACAAGATCAATGAAATAGATAGTTACATAGATTGATAATCCATATTTTTCAAAATATACATAAGCTTATGCCTTAAAGTAAAAATATAAGCAATTATTTTTTTAAATACCTAAATTGGTTTTAAAACACATTTTTGTTCAACCGATTCAAATTAATAAATATTTACCAGACAATATGGCCGCTCGTAAACGACCAGCTTTGAGCAATCTATATAAATATATATGTATCATTGACCCTGTTAATGACAACATGACAACAGGGTTGCCATATCTAAACTGTCATTACCCACTGGTAGCCATTTGGACAGGTCGTTGGAATGCCTAATTAGTTTTCAAATTCAAAATTTTCGTTAGTGGGTCGTAGAAAAAATATACTGTACAACTCGAGTGGATTGTCCAAATCTGGCCACCATATCCACTTCCAGCCACTTCTGTTGCACAAACTTATTTTGTGGTTAAATAAATACTTTATGCGCCATCTTCTGTTATTTTATAGAACATTCTACTGGTGGTTGCAGGTTGCCATATCATGATAGAAATCATTGCGTTTTTTTTAACTGGAATTTTCAGTGCGTTGTGAGTATGTTATTACTTTCTTATTTTGTATTACGATAAACAAGGACACAAATATACTCAGTGCGCACTGCCAATGCCAGTGAAAAACGCAATGGTGGCAACACTTCTGTGACTTGTCATTTGTCATGTCAATTTTCTCTGTCACTGTCAGTACTGTCACTCATCCATTGACAAATTAATAAACATGGAAAGGTGCAATGGCAATTTTTTATAAATCAAAAGGAATAAGTTCACAAGAAAAAAAAGCAACTGTAGTTTCCGCTTCTTTGTCCGCTGTGGATGTCCTCAGCGACACAATGTCGTCGGACAGCGAAGAAATGGACATCCAACAAGAACTTCGCAACATAGAAAGTGTTATCAGTTTGACCAGAGCCAATATAGATGCTCTAAATGCGAAATTCGCCGGTTTTCAACATCCACCGACGATGTATATCAAAGAATACAATGACTTAACGTCCAAACTTCATGAACTTGAAGCCGAAGAAATGAGACTGAAGGAATTAAAGGAACAAATGAACGGTAGAGAAAGTCCTGAGGATTCCAGTTATTATGAGGCGAAGCCCCAAAATGATACTTTTAGGCCTAAATTTCTCCGCGCGTACTTACCCAACCAGCAACGAACCAGTGTCCAAGTAAGGGACGGTCTTACCCTAAGGGATGCTTTAGCGAAAGCTATGAAACTACGAAATTTAGTTTGTGAGACGTGTCGGGTGTATCGGGGCAAGTACTCGGACGAGTCCATAAATTGGGACACAGACATTAACACTTTGAACTGTAGTGAAATTACTGTAAAAATTTTAGATAAATTTCCTATTCCTACTAGTATTTCCCATAATTTTGTTAGAAAGACTTATTTTTCGCTAGCTTTTTGTGAGTGTTGTCGTAGACTTTTGTTTCAAGGTTTTTATTGTAGGACTTGTGGTTACAAATTCCATCAAAGATGTGCTGCTGGAGTACCATCTCTCTGTCACCAGGTAGGTTTCTTTTTAATACTATTTAACTCAGTTTTAACCAATGAATATGCCTTTCGAAAAAATATATCACATATCAATTTAAAATACCTAAAATAGGAATTAAGATACCCTCCCTTTTTCCCCTGTGACATTCTTCCTTTCAGTTGAATTCATATATACTTAATAGACATTAATGGAATCTCAGGAATCTTTGAAGGAATGATTCATTTCATCATATAAACTATGCCAAAGAATTGTTGACTCAATAGCAAATGACAGCATTTGCCTAAAGGACGTAGGCATGTCATTTTTTCCCATATTTTACTTTATTCGCAACATGATCTATGATCTTAGCCATTCACTTTAATAACAAATTTGGCCAAATCTTGGCATTTTTTAGAAGGCATAGAAGGATGAGATCCAACCAAATTTGTTATTAAAGTCTTAAGCAGTCTGTAAGGAGTAAAATCTATTGTATGAAAAAAATTGACATGCCCCTTGGGCTTAGGGTGGCAATATTCTTGTGTCAACTATACTTGAAATCAATTTCATTATATGTTCAAATTGCAGTGCCTGCCTATAGTCACTCACAGTGCAATTTACAACAAAATATATCAAACACATTTAAGTACTGAAAATATTTTCAAAGCAACATTGACCAAAATAATACAATAAAATTGATTCATTCACAAAAAACAAAATTGCCATGTGTGCAAAACATTAGTTATACAAACTTCTGTGTGATAGCCCAACCCACTTATAAGAAAACTAATGGAAGTATAATTGGTATTCATTACAAATAAGGTAAAGATAGCAGTAGTCGACACCTTAAGAAAAATATAATGATAAATTTAAAATTAATTTCATAAATTTGCCTCTATATTTTGTTATCAGCTTCAGATAGAACACCTTAAGTGTGGTCTAGGTAAACATTCATATTAAAATTATGCATTTGCTCCAAAGTTTGACAGGTACAGATTAGCTAGTTCTAGTAGTTGACATGATTTGCCTCGGTAGTTGACATTAGTGAGGGTAATAAAACAAACAATTTCGGATTAATTAATTTATTCATTAATTAAGAAGTTACACCAATGGATTTTTTAAACCTTTAGGTAACTCTTTCACCCTTCAACACTAATTCAGACTGCTCCAATTTTTGACAAAAATTTATTTCGCTGATGTCCTTTTCAACTGCTATAAATTCTTTGTGTTATCAATGCTTTTACCACCCATAACAACAATATTTTCAGATGAAATTAATGTTTGAACAACACACACAAATTTAAACTCCAATGAATTTCATTTGCCACCCTTAAATTGGGTAAGAATATAATCGCCAGGGTTGGAAAAACCTATGAATTTTGAAAAATATAAGTAGGTTTTAAGGTTATTTTTAAGGTGTTTAAGTTTTTTTTTTGTTTTTTAAGGTTTTTAGTTCATATGCGGAAAAAATATTAATAAAGTAAAACAAAAAATAAAATGTAAAGTTAAAGAATAGAATTTTATTAAGTACTTATATTAAAAAAAAACACATTTCAGCAAACAAACAAAAAAAAAATAAAAATGACAAACATTTTTTTTAATTGTCACTATCACTACTATTACTATCACTAGAATCAATAAGTTCATCAGTGGTAACTTTTGACAAAACATTGGCATTTGTTTTTATATATACTAATTTTTGCACCCTTTCTGCTGAGAGTTGATTTCTCAACTTTAAATGGATAAATCCAAGTTATTTAAAAAAACCTAAAATCGCAGAATTTTCACTTTTAGGTTTTTTTAAGAAACCTAAAAAAACCTAGGTGCAAAAAAAACCTGTACTTGCTAGCCCTGAACCTCCTTCCTTTAATTCACTGACATGTCAGATTCTTGAAGAGAAAACCTAGTAGAAGAATCATTTTTTGAAGAACTTGAAGAAGATGAGAGACATCTTTTCTTTGTAGTTGTAGCCTTTTTGGTCTTTTGCTTAGATTCTGCCTTTTTTGTTCCATATTCTGTTCTTCCTTTTGTCTTTCCATCTCCTTTTTGGTATTAAAATATTCCAACATTTGTGGAGAAGTAGCAATGGCTGGTAATTTTTCTTTCCTTTTTTCTTAACTTCAATTGGGCCATCTTCCTTCCAAAACAAAACTTTTAAAAGGGGAAATAATATTTTCTTTATGATCAGTAAATCCCTTCACTAAAGGGGTAGTTTTGAGATGGTGTAGTTCAGTGCTAGTAGAACAAGAAGGTGCATTAATATTTGTCACATTGTTTAAGGGAGTCTCTGGTGCTACTTGTGACTCTGCAGTTGATGCTTCTATAATTATTGGTCCAGCAGGAGAAATGTTTGTGTCTTGATACACTACATCTAAGAAATCCGGTTCTTGTATGGATGCCAGTTCTTCATTAGATTGCTGAAAAAACTTATATTTAGTTCTAGTAGTTTATATGTATATAAAAGTAATGTTACCTTTTCTTCAGTATTTTGAGGTTGGTGGTCATGCCACAATTTCCATAAATTAAATAAAGATGTGTCTTCAGTAGGCCCTTTCCATTCATTTTGACTGTCCATAAAAGATGTTATTTTATCCTTGCCGATTTCACATTCTAAAATTGAAAAAAATAGTTTGTCCTCTGCAGTTTTTCTCATATTTAAAGTTTTAGTTTCTGCACTTGCCTCTCCTTTAACCTTAACTGCCTTTGGATCCCAAGGAACCAAGTTACATTTTTTAAATCCTTTTTTATTGTTAAATCTTTAATATGAGGAAGAACTTCTTATAATGTTGCAAAATTGTACTTCTAAGAACATCACAACTGGTCTGGGAATACCTTCCTTTTCAAGCCAGGGTACGAAAATATTAGCAATGTATTCAAAGAATAGCTCTTGAGTCATCCACCCTTTTTTAAACTTTCCTATTGCCCAGTCAGAAGGAAAGTTTTCAGCTATACTTTGTGGTATCCTGGTGTACCTGTAGACTACTAGTTTTTCATTTGCATTGGCTGTAATTAAAGTTGTTATGTTGAATTTGTTATCATTACCAGCAGCATTATAAACAGTTTTACATCCTCTGGGAGCCAGAACTTTGCCCGGTTCTGGATTTAAAAAGAATGCTGTTTCATCACAGTTAAACACACAATTTGGATTTTTTATTACATTTTCTATTCTCTTCTTCTTTAAATATCTCGCAATTTCCTCAAACCATTGATTGATATTCTCTTGTGTAACAGCTCTTCTTTGAAAAGTTAAATTTTGACCAGTTCGAAATGTAATATCTTGGTGGCGTTTTAAAAAAAGGCTTAACCATTTTTTTCTGGGTTTGGTATTTCCATTAAAGGTGATCCTTAATTCTAAAGCTAGTTTAGAAACACTTTCCATGGAGGTTTCCTTTGTCAAAGGGAAACCTACCAACCCATTTAATATTATTTATATTTCCTTAAGTCGACATGCCTGTTGACTACTAGAACTAGATCTTTTTTCTGTTCCAAAAGTTGACAAGCCAGTTTTTCTTGTTACAAACATGTCCTAACTATCTTAACAAATATATTCTGTTAACCATTGCTATTACTAGTACAGTGATAATTTAAAAGTAATGAATATTTTTAAAACAAAACTTTTTAACATCATTTGGTAATCTTACTAAGTCACACAAAATGGTACTTGATGGCCTTGATGCACTCACTTTCAATGTTACCTCTCTGTGTTATTAACAAAATAAGACTGGGATATGCAACACTCAATAGGCCACTGGTAGGTACTAGCAATGATGCCAAGTGATATATTTTGTTTTAGATTTGCAGAATTTTCTTGTTTGTGGTAGTATAAAATTGAGGTGTCGACCTTTGGAGCACTGTCAACTACTGGTATCCGTACCTTAATAAGACAAAAAAATATATTTATTTAGTACATCTCTCAAAAGTTAAAAATCAATTGCAGAGTCACATAAAAATAAATTGAAAAAATATACTTACTAATTAGTTTAAATTAGTTTTTAAATTGTCACTCTAAATAATACATGATCACAATTTACAATGTTACCTCTAGTTATGATAATTTAATCCTTACATTTGCTTTGAATTTAATAGATAATCCACATTTATTTGAAATAATTTAGGTCCGAATGACTGATGCATACTACAGAGCTCTATTAGCTCTTCCTCTGTCAGACTACTCAGATTCAAGTGCTGGCATTCTACATGCCGGTCAAGCCGAATTAGGACCCCCACCAAAACAAAGTCGCCATTCTGGTACTTTGGGTCACCATGATAGATCCAGCTCAGCCCCAAATGTTTGCTTGAATAACGTCAAGGCTTCTGGCGATGAATATCCTAAGTCCCTAGCATTGAGCAGGTAAGAATTGCTTTATTATTTAATAGATATTTTAAACATTGATTTGTAAAGAAAATTTTTTTAATTATCCGAAATAGTTTTCTGTATTCCAGGGGACCTGAAGGAGAATCGTCTCCTCATTGCAGGAGTACTCAAGCATCCCCTACGGGTTCTCTTCAGCCCAGAAGACCTAGAGCTCGTTCAGCAGACGAAAGCAAACCCCTACTTGCCCCAAGAGAAAGCATCGAAGATTGGGAAATCCCAGCTGATGAGATTTTAGTTGGAGCTAGGGTTGGTTCGGGATCATTTGGAACTGTATACAAGGCTCATTGGCACGGTCCAGTTGCGGTATGATTTAGTAGAAAAATATATATTTTCCTTTATTTAGGAAACTACTTTTTTTATAGGTAAAAACTCTCAATGTCAAAATTCCAACGATGGCACAGTTGCAAGCTTTTAAAAATGAAGTAGCTGTTCTTAGGAAAACTAGGCACGTTAATATTTTGTTATTTATGGGTTGTGTAAGTAAGCCCCAATTAGCAATTGTCACCCAGTGGTGTGAGTCGTCGAGTCTCTACAAACATTTACATGTTTTGGAGACAAAGTTTCAGCTTTTCACTTTAATTGAAATAGGTAAGTAAAAGTGTTTTAATTTTCTATTAATATACTTTGACTGTACAGTTAGAAATTAAAGCAGTTTTTCAAGAACTTCATATATATGACTATTGCTTTCTTAAATTTGTTGTTTATTACAAGCTAACTACTGGCAAATGATATTTATCAATGAAATATACAATTACAACAAGTTTTACTCTGACTGACCTATTAACATTGTATGTGCTGAATATCTAGCAATTTTTAAATCTATTTACAAAATATAGAAATAATTTTTAATGGAGGGCTTAAAAAATGAATCTGAGTTTCTTTAAAAGACATTTATTCTTTATTAAAGTATCTTTTTTTTAAACTTTGCGCCAAATTAGACTAATTTCATTGGATGTCTTTAATACAATGTTGACAATGATAGGCAAAGAAGAGCTTCTTTATTTATGTTGACTGTTAATTGTTCATTTTGAATAAAAATAGAGAATAGGTATATATTTCAAAACAGTTATTTCATCATTATTTTTTATTCCAATAATATTTTAACTCATTACATACAATTCAAATAACCACTGACTTTCACATTAAACTAGATAGTTATTTGTCATATAATGGTTATCATTAATAATAATTATTATTTTTTATTGATATTTTTAATATTATTATTAATATTATTCTCTTAAGGGTATCAGAATTGTAAATGCATGTAAACAATCAACAAGTCAAGTCAAAGTCACTGACCTTCATACTAAACTGGATAGTTAGTAATATTAATAATATTATTTTTTTTTTGTGTGTGTCATCGGCTTCAACTACCAGGTTTATTTCGCCTCGTGTTCTGTGTAGGCTTTGTTACTGTTTCCCAGCGCCACTTTAGGACCAGCACTGTTAATTAGAACCCAACAGTGAATGGTCGAGTGGGGAATCCTACCAGGGCATTAGAATTAATATTAAATAATTAAATTAAATGAAAAAATCCCGACCAACGGTGGGATTCGAACCTGGGACCCTTGGATCCACAGGCAGAGACTCTACCACTGAGCCACCCACCCCGTTAATAAATATTGTTAATATTATTATTATTGTTAATTATATTTTGCAGTTATCTAAATGAAGGTACATTGCCATTAAAGTTAGGGTTATAATTGCATATAACTATTCTCATTTCTAAGTAATATTTTTTATTAATATTGATAATATTGATAATATTGATAATATTGATAATATTGATAATAATGATAATATTGATAATAATGATAATATTGATGATATTGATGATAATATTGATAATATTATTGATAATAATAATAATCATTCATTTAATTTTTTTTATATAATTTAGGCAGGCAAACTGCTCAGGGCATGGACTATCTGCATGCCAAAAACATCATTCATCGCGATCTGAAATCAAACAATATATTCCTTCACGACGATTTGACCGTAAAAATAGGCGATTTTGGTCTGGCTACTGCGAAAACTCGATGGTCCGGGTCGCATCAATTCCGCCAACCTACTGGCTCCATCTTGTGGATGGCGCCCGAAGTGATTCGGATGCAGGAAGACAATCCGTATAGTTTCCAATCTGACGTGTACGCCTTTGGAGTTGTTATGTTTGAAATGTTAGCTGGACAGTTGCCTTATTCACACATCAACAACAAGGACCAGATACTCTTTATGGTTGGAAGGGGATATTTAAAGGCAGATCTCAGTAAAATGAGGTTAGTATTATTATCAATATAGAACAAATTTGATATCTTTTGTATTAAATGGAATAGAGTGGGTAGATAAGGAATTAAGTAAATTTTTTCGAATTTTTATTGTGTCACTATCATTTAATTTTCTTCTCTTGTGTATTGTCCACAGGTCCGATACTCCAAAAGCTCTAAGACGATTAACAGAAGACTGCATAAAATACAACAGAGATGAAAGACCTCTATTTAGACAAATACATGCTTCATTAGAGGGTCTATTACGAAATCATCCCAAAATTAGCAGATCGACTTCCGAACCGAATATGAACAGGACACATTTACAGTCCGACGATTTTATTTATACTTGTTCCAGTCCCAAAACCCCAGTCCATTTCGGACAAGGCCATTTCCTTTTCTATCCCACTGGAACCGGTAACATTTGATTAAATTAGTGCTGGTATCGGTATTGTAATTATGTTCCCAGAAAAAAAAGTATTTGTTGGTATTGTTATGAAACTTAAAGGACTTCTTTTCAAAAACTTTCTAAGATTTAAAATCTGCTTTAATGAAATTAAATCTAGGAAAATATATATCGATGAAGGAACGGAAATATTTTTTCTGCGGAATTCTAAAACGTTCTGAATTTATTGACTGTGGTATGTAGGATTATTGAATTTCGATCGTTAAAGTTCATACTTTGAGTCCTATTTTTTGTTTATAAGCGGGTGTGAATGAATTCGAATGCGATGGTTAACCTAAAAAATCAATTAGTGAGTTCTAGGTTACTCGAATCTTGGTTTCACATTATAAAGCAGTTTTAATTTTGTATTTTGCAGTTATCTAGACGAAGATACATTGACATTGAAGTTAGGTTTATAATTTCATGTAACTATTATTCTCATTTCTTATTAATATTTTTTAATAATTTTGATATTAATATTATTATTTATTAATGTTAATAAAGAAATGTATTTTTCGCATTTTAGCAAGTTTCGGTATCTATAAAAAATTTCATTTAATTTTAATTTGTTATTAATATTTTTAATAATATTAATATTAAAAAATTATTAATATTTATTAATGTTGTTAAAAACTTGGATTTTTCGCATGTTAGCATGTTTCGGCATCTTTTTCAAAAATTTCAATCAGTTTTAATTTATTAGTAATATTAATATTATAAATATTAATATACAATATACAAAACATTCATTAAATTTTAATGTTATTTTTAATAATATCAATATTATTATTAATATTGAAATTATTAATAATAATGAATTAAAATTTAATGAAATTTTCTAAAAAAAAAATACCGAAACATGCTAACATGTGAAAAATTCATTTCTGTAATAACATTAAAAATAAATACAATATTATTATGTGTATTATTAATATTATAGAAAGTTAGAATAGAGGATAAAAATAAATCAAGGTCAATTAATGTCTCTTCTGGAATACCTCAAGGGTTTCATTGTGCACCACTATTAATTTCGTTAATAATAGATTGCAAAATAGTAATTTTCAATATAAAATAATGAAGGAAATTCAAGAATCGGGTACCTGGTGTTAAATGTTTAAAAGTTGTTATAATTACGTTTATTAGAAATAGAAAAATGCCTTTTCGCCACTTGTTTTAGTTCAAGTAGCGTGAATGATACAGGGAGTTGTGATATTTTCGATAAACAATGCTTTAATGATGATAAATTATAGCTCTTGCGACTTAATGAAAAAGTAAGTCGAAACGTTTGTTCTAAAAATAAACATTGGTATTTTTTAACATAGTAGAAGAAAAAACTCTTAATAAATACCAAAAATCTATTTTCATTTTAGTTAGTTACAATACAAAAATACAAGAAATGTAGGTGAGGAATGAAAGTTAAAACTCCTACATATTATGTGCCTATTATTAACGAATTTCAGTATAGTTAAAAACTTGCCTTCATGGCTCAAGTCGTTAAGTTACCAACTTTGAATTTCGCAATGTGAAAACATGGGTGGTCGACCAGGTTGGAGTTGATCACTTCCTTTTCTCTCACCATTTCACATACAACCTATGAAGTTTATTTAATAAAATGTTTTCATAGAAAACGTTTTCTACCAAAATCTTGAAGATTGAACAGTTGAAAGGCTTAATTTTTTATCAATATATCATTGGTAGAATATCACAATACTCTATATATACGACATTTCTTCTTTAAAACTGGAAAAACTGGATAATATTAGTATATATGTCTTATAATGCATTTCCATATATAATTTTCAAAAATAAAAAAAGAAAAACTTAAAATTCGTCTCACAGTAACGATCGCACGATGCTTCTGTGAAACGGACTTTAAAAATTTTTCTTTTTCGTTCATTTATAATAAAATTAAAATTTAAAAACAAAAAAATCGAATCTATTCTATTTGCGATGACATATATACTAAACAACTCCTTTAAATCTGTGTTATTATCACTAAGTGTACAGAAACGAGAATACGCTTATTCTGTAATAGATGCGACAATATCTGGTTTGCCGAATTTTACACGACGAAATAAATATATTTGTTGATTTGCAGAACACGTTCGGCAGTTGAGATTATTGGTCTTTCTATTTACAGTAAATTTATTAGGATTATCAGTGCCTATGGGAATAATCCAATTAGAATTTTCATCCTAATTACAACCAATTACAGGCTGTATCAGCATTACTTACTGATAAAGTAGGCTAGGGCCATTTAAATTTCGTTTTTAGGATAATAACTGACCCCAAAACAAAATAGAATCTAAAGGGTATTCTCCTTCAAAATTCAACCTCAGTTACCTAAAATGTTGAATAATTTCCTCATATCGTTTGGTACACAAGAATAGTGACACAAATAAAATTTTTAATTTTCTGTGAAAATGTGTCGTTCTTCCTTTTCTACAGTCGCGAATTTATGATGATGAATAGCAACACACATCTACGTGTGCCTGCGACAATCAGTGAGACAAGATCATCAATTTTCTGCGACAATGACATAAATCAAAATATGCCAGTTTTGTTGAAAATAATGTTCTTGTCAAATTGGGACATTATTGTTGAAAAGGTCATTATCGATAATGGTATGAAATATACGTTTCTGAAAGATCGTCATAACTTAAAATAGAGATGAAAATATAATATATTTTGCTGTTTTCTTAAAGTTATCAAAGCAAACTTATTGTTTGAATACAAAAATGATTTAAATTTAGTTTTTATGGTCGTGATAAGTAATAAATTCACCACAAAATGAAGTAGAACCTAATGGTCTCCTCCTTCAAGTATAAACTACTAAAGTTTAACCTCAATATAGGATGGGTTCAATTTCCTAAACCTTTTAATAATTTTATCATATCGTTGTTACAAAAGAATAGTGACACAACTCAAAATTTCAATTTTCGAGCTTATTGTGACAATCAATGAGACAAGATCATCAATTTTCGGATATAGTGAAATAAATCCAAATTTGTCAGTTTAAATAAAAGTAAGCTAAGAACATTATTTTCAATAGTGGCACAAGTCAAATTGGAACATTATTTTTGAAAAGATCGATAGGGTGTGAAATATACTTTTCTGGAAGATCGTTATAACTCAAAAGAGTGATGAAAATATATATTGTGAGTTTTTTCTTCCTGTTATCAAATCAAACTTGTTTGAATACAAAAAAAAAGATTTAAATCTCATTTTTATGGGCATGTTAAGTAATAAATTCACCACAAAATGAAATAGAACCTAATGGTCTCCTCCTTCAGGTATGAAGAAATTTCCAACCTCAGTATGGGATGGGTTCAATTTTCTAAAACGTTTAATAATTTTATCATATTTTTGTTGCAAAATAATAGTGTCATAACTCAAAATTTTCCTTTTACGAGCTTATTGTGAAAATGTGTCGTTTTTCACGAGTTTCTAATGATGAATAGCGACACAAATTTAGTTACTACGACAATCAAGATCATAAATTGTCTGCTAGTGTGACATCATTCAAAAATAAGCCTGTTTTATTAAAAATAAACTAAGAACATTATTTTTAATAGTGGCACAAAACAAATTGGGACACTATTGTTGAAAAGGCCATTATCAATATGGTGCGAAATATACTTTTCTGGAGGATCGTCATAACTCAAAAGAGGGATGAAAATGTAATATTTTTGGGTTTTTTCTGGTTAACAAAGCCAAATTGTTATTTTTTGAATACTTTCAAAAAAGATTTAAATATTTTTAAAATACAAAAAACAAGAAACTTTAAAATGGATGTTCTCGAAAATGTAGATTTTGAGTGTTGTCACTATTCTTGTGTTCTAACGGTTATTACTAGATTCTGAGTTTTCTTCTCATTCGCGTGTCCCTCTATCTCAGTACTGCTTCATGGTGTTTCTCGCTTTTTCTCTGATGACTTTAAAATGGATGTCCTCGAAAATACAGGTTTGGTATTTTGTCACTATTCTTCTGTTCTAAGTTTTCTTCTCCTCTGCGTGTTCTATCTCAGTCCGGCTTTCTGGCTGGCGCTTCTCACTTTTCTATTCTCCGATGACTTTAAAATGTGTCGTTCTTCTCATTCTACAAAGTTGCGAATTTATGATTATGAAGTGTCATAAATCTAGTTGAGCTTCGACAGTTAAGGAGACAAGATCATCGAATAGTGACAAATCAAATTAGTGCAGTTTTAATAAAAAACTAATTATCATTATCAGTATGGTGCGAAATATACTTTTCTGGAAGGGGGATGAAAATGTAATATTTTATCAAAGGAAACTTCTTCAAAACTAAAATCTTTGACGTCATATAATCTATGAAAAAAAAAAAAAAAAAAATTGTGTTAACGATAATCATTCAAAAAAATAAAAATATTTTTTCTTTACAATAAATCCAATGTCCTATTCCTACTACTTTTCTTAAAAAATAATAAATTCAATGGGTTTTAGCCTACTTTTTGCTCTAACTAAAAAGTTTTAAATATTTTTAAAAATTCCAGAACAATTTAGCAATCAAAATGCATTTAGTTTGTGTATAAATTTTGTAATACTGACACACCCTGTATAAGAGTAATCGCTCATTAATAATAGTAATACTTTTTTCCAATACGCTATATTGGCGATGACGTAATTTGTGTTCCAATGACAGATGACAGTAGACTTATAAAAATAGAGGTCATAAGTATTCGCTAACATTTTATTTCTATTATTTTCCAGATTGTATCCACTTGAACATTAATTTCTAAGAGCCTAGGAAATCTATGGCTTTGTTTACAATTTCTTTCCATAACTTTTTATTTTAAGCTTTTTTTTCATCTGAATCCTATCCATTGGCATCCCCAAAATATGATTTATCCATCGTGTTCTTTGCGTTATATTTGAGTATACAAATTCAGCTTAAATTTTTCTTTGGTATTGCCGATTAACAGGAGGAATTGCGATAACTTTGTAAAAAGCGAACACGCTGTAAATCCCGCGCATCGATGGCGGATGATATCGATCGGTGTTATGGGATGGCCAACGCTTCATATGAATATTCTTCTTTTTGTTGCTCGTTATAGTTTTAAAGCCGAATATGTATATAGCTCACTAATTTCGTTATTTATTGTAACTGGGGAGGTGTAGACTGTAGATCCATATCTGCACGTACTCTTCTTAGAAAATGTTCACTAATTTAAAGGCTTTCAGTTCGGGAATGTTCTTTTTCTTTGTCGGGTCGGTGGTGTAACAGTCTAACGCGCTTATATTCATTTATAGGCAAGTTTATGGTCAGAAACTATCGGACTTCAAATCCCAGACCAGACCATGTGGATTTTTAATTAAATTGCATGGTTCGGTATAGGATTTGATGTGTGCCGTATTAATAAAAATTCAATTTCTGTTGATATGACATGCAGATTATAAAATCGCCATGCATTACCGTCTCGATGATGGTGGGTGAGGTTTTCCGGGTTTTTCTCACCTGTAAGTTAAATGGCACCATCAATAATCTTTAAGTCGCCCCGGAGCACCACGGCAAATAATAATAGCCGTCCCTTTCCCCGCACAAGCTCAGCTTTTGGGATTAAAATTCACTCGTAAGGGGGTGAATTAGGGAGAGTATTATTATTATTATTATTATTTGGCCTTTAAGTTGGTCCATTGCAAAGAAAATAGTTGTTGATGCTATTAAAGTGTTTGATGCTTCATCTAATAGGGCATACGTTTTTATCGTTTCTGATCTTTCCCGAAGCTCATCAATTGTTTTATCTCCAAAGCACTTTTTTCCCATATTGCAAGTGTGTATATATTTCTGTCTTAATATCCAAATCTCGTTTGCAAAGATTACTATTGGACGAACACTCGTTTTATACACTATGCATCTATTACCTTTTATACGACTAGCCTGTATCCTTTCTTCAGATCCTGGATGTCTAGTCACTGTTATTCCAAAATATTTGAAAGTTGATTTTTCCTTAAAACTGTATCTGTGTTGCCTACAAACTTGTTCTCTTTATAGTACTGCTTACCTGCCCAATTCATGTACTTTGTCCTCATTTTTCTAGTTCTACTTTTCAAGCCGATTTTTATATCCTGTATTTCTCTCAATTCGGTTTTTTCTTATTGCTTAGGCAAGACACTGATGTTTTTGTATGGTAAAGTAATCCCACTTTATTATTATTTGCTATTCTGATTACTTTATCTAATATGTTAAACAATATTGTGGACAAAGGGTTTACATGACGTAGTCAGTCTTTCACACTATCTTTTGCATATTTTAAAGTTATTTGCAATATATTTACAATTTTTTTTACTAATTCCCAATTCTTGCATTGCTTTATTCCGCTTATTACTCCCCTTCCCTTCTGAGACCCACATAGGTATTCTCATATATTGTTCATTTTATAATTAGGTCTGTTCTTAATTCAATTCCATTCAACAAATTTTATTTAAATTCAAAAAATGTTTATCTATAGATGCATAAACTGACTTTTACCCTTTTCTTGTTTGCGCTGAAGGTTCTTGGATAACGTCTTCGCTTTCAGTCGCAAATTGACATCAATCTTTCCCCTCCTTATCTAATGATTCTACTGTTAGCCTACAGGCGATAATGCATTTGAGTTTGTAATGTCTTTTGTTGACTTTATGGAGTACGTATAGAAATCGAGTATAGAGCATAGAATATATTTATTTACATGGTAAAAGTATAAAATTTACATCTACAATTGAAATCTGTATCGATTTCTTCGCCCTGTCCTCTTGCCGAAACTGGAGGTGTCTAGGCGTCGTCTCGTACCCTGATCATGATATGCCAGATGTTTATTGATGTTATAGGGGTTGCTACCTCCTTATCTTAGATATTATGCGGCAATTATGATTTTATTTGAAGAATCGGTAGTTGATCTTATTTCAAAGCTGTGTCTGTTGTTAGTTATGTCGTATAGAAATCGAGGGTGTCGTTTTTAGTGAAGACACGCCCACCGTGCAGTTTACCCGCCGACCAAATTACAGCTAGTCGGCTTGAGCTTTCAGTAACTTGGTCACAGTAGAGCAATCTATGTCTGTTTACGTTTCAATTTTATATTTTTAGTCAGGCACATACAGTGTGGGTGCTTTATAGACGTTCATGTTCATGATGGATCCCCTAACATAACGGTATTTGTAAGTCTGTTAGCTAAAATTTTTCTGTACACAAATGTCACACTGATATAGCGTATAGAGAGATACAGCGACAATGCTGCTAATATAAGTAAAATGGATACTAATGACATTAGAAATTCCGTTTTTTTAAACATTCCTTTTGATTTGGTTTCATCTGTTTATGTCAGATATGAAATATTGCTGTTACAAATTTCATACAACATATAACACTAGTTACGTTATGCACGTCTATGGTTTACACCTATGTATGTTCTAACTATTAATATTATTGACATATTTGGTCAACATGTACATTGTATGTAAAATAGCCTCTTTATTTGATTCGATTTCTTGTCATTAGTGTCAATTTTAAATTAATAAGTTGGCTGCGTTGTCTATTGTTTTAATAGGCATCGTTGTTCCCACTTTCTTTATTAAATCTTCGTCATATCTTTTCTGTCAAACGTCAATATTTTTAATTTGTAATTGTTTTTCCTGTCATTTTGTTATCTGCTACGTTTGATAAAAAATGAAATGGAGTTTTCTTATGATCAAAATTTTTTTCTTATTCAAATTTTGATTTTAATTCATCTTTTAATAATTTAAATAATTTAACCATTTTTAATTCGCTGACAAAGACTTCGTCAGGTTCAAAGAAACTGACATGAAGTAGCTTGTTAAATATAATTATTCTTCGGTACGAAAATGTGGTTGGAAATATTTGTTTATAGGTGATCATTTAGAAGTTTAAGTATAAACAATTTTTTCAGTGTAATTGTAAGTGGTTGTGAGTGCATGTATGTTTTGAAGGTGGAGTTTTTAAGTTATTCTATTAATATACATTTAAATTATACAAATATTGTTTTGTTTTTACAATAAAATGTTATAAAAATTGGAATTTTGTATTTTTCTACCTTATCTAAAAGAAGATTGCGTTATTGAACGCACGATAGCAGTGAAATAGTCGAGATAGCACTACAAGTATCAGCTAAGGTGCCAGGACATCAAAATAAGTTGTTTTTATCAATTCACTCCTTATATTTTCCATGCCATAGCGAGCCGAAAGCAGTTTCACTTATTTTTTATTTTATAGAATATATAAACCTTACAAATGACGCCTTAGACTCGAAAACACTAGCGGCAGTTTTGTTAATAGTGATGACTGAAAATTCCAGAGATTTCGTTGATATCAGACTGTGAATATGAAAGTGTAATGACGGGCTTTAATCGTTATTATTACGTCAAATACTTTCCGGGAGCTAAAAGAGAAAGGTTAACCTTAATTAAAAGCTAAATTGGTTAAATAAATCTATTGATTACGAAATTTAATTAATTATTCCAACGCCCACTCCATTCACTGATCCTAACAACCCTGAAAAAAATTCAAAGAAAAACTGTTATCGGAACGATAGCTTGGATTGGACGAAGCTCAATTTAATGTTAATAAATAGAAAATAAATCGGTTTTTTATTTATATCGGGCTTCGGTTGAGTTTGCGCATGAAAATGAGATTTTAAAGAAAACGCGACTAGTTACTAGTGTACTACTTAAATACAGCCAGGGTCACCGATTCTGGTCGGCCGGAGGACTGAACGGGTGGGCGGGGCATCAATACAGCCAGGGTCACTGATTCTAGTCGGCGGGTGGACTGAACGGGTGGGCGGGGCATCAATACAGCCAGGGTCACTGATTCTGGTCGGCGGGTGGACTGAACGGGTGGGCGGGGCATCAATACAGCCAGGGTCACTGATTTTGGTCGGCGGGTGAACTGAACGGTTGGGCGGGGCGTCATCGGCGACCTGTCATACGTTTTTCAATGAAGACATACAAGTAAGCACATACAAAAACTTCACAATCTAGCCAATATTTTCATATGTCGCAAGACATGGTGGTGGCACTCCAAGCTCACGATCTATAAATTTGACCCGAGTTGCTCCAACGCCAAAGCAAGTGAGTTTTTGGGTATAATGTAAATAAAGAATTTTGAAAGAAAGTAAGCGACCTGACATTGCACGTTTTACATGAATTTTGTACTTCATCCAGGAGCACAGCCAAGACTGCTGAGTCTACTTAAAAATAAAGATGGATACAGTACTTTAAACGGTGGGTGAAAAAGTATACAAATTCTTGTCAAAACTAGACAAGTCTAATTTAAACTAATCCATATACATTTGTGGCAATAAAATATATAGTTCTATATTATTTACAATTTGATCTAAAATAAATCAACAGTTATTCATTTTAAAGAAAGTTTCCATTTTTGTAAAATATCAGCCGCCTGTTTTAGATTTTCATCTTTCTGAAAAAAAAATATAATATAGGTTTAATAAAACGGCTAAATATTATATTTGTAAGTAATACCTTAATGAAGCAATATCTAACAAAATTTTCTCCTAGATTCTTATGCGATTCATTGTAAAATGCCGATGGAGGAATTCCTTGAAAACCAATATTCTTCGTCATCCATTTGGTGAATTTGTAATCTTTTTCTTTATCCTTTTCTGAACTCAGATCTACCTTTGATTCTGAAAAATAAATTGTTGATTGCCTTTCATGAATATAAATACCATTGATGTCTTACCTAAAGGTGTCCAATCTGCTAACATAAAATATCCCCCTTCTGGTATAGTTGGTTTCATTCCAACATCTAGTAAAAATTTCGCCATATAGTCCCGTTTACTTTCTAGCTCTTTAGGTAACGATACAAAGAAACATTCTTCACTACCCAGTCTTTCCATCTCCAATTCAAATCCAATGGCTACAGCTTCCTAAAATTAAAAACAATTTTTTTATCAAAATTTCCATCTTTGGTCGATTTCTTTACCTGTATAGGTGTCACTCCAGTATATACACTATTTTGGTGGATCATCTGTAAATTCCTCATTAAATTTGCTGGGCAGTAAGCCCAACCTACTTTCCAACCGGTGACGCTAAACGTTTTCCCAGCTGAACCAATTGTTATGGTTCTTTCCCACATATCAGGCAGACTGGCTAAAATTCATAATATTGTATTTATTTCAAAAATTATATTCAACTTTACCATATCTAATTGGAGTTACAGAACCCCAAAGTTGAATCGGTTAACATGGTGGGTACAGGGGAGCTTAAAAAACCCATTCACCTAATTGACTAATAAATTTCCATTTTGGGGATTATTCTGTTAAATTGTTAATTTTAAGGGGAATTTTAAAAAATTCATCACAAATTGTACTACAAAATTTTAAATTTATTTAGGGGATATATATTTTTTATTATTAGATTGCAGGTTTGGAATATTTTATTGTTGATTGGGGGAAATTAACATAACCGAACTCTCCACTGCGGCTTGAATTAGAAACAGTAGGGTAAAAAAAGCCATAGAGACCATGAACATGCATTCAAAAACTACTTAACAGTTTTGCTTTCACAAATGAAAAATTCACATGAAATGGAGTGGAGATCATGGAAAGAAATTGTGAAAGAAAATCAATAGAAGATTCTTCTACATATAACCAGAAATTACCTATTCTAATATGCTTATTTGGTTCATAAACAATCCATTCGTAAACTTCATCAGATATGCACAAAGTGTTCCATTTTTTACATAAATTTGCTATATGAGTCAATTCCTCTTCGGTAAATACTTTTCCCAAGGGGTTATTAGGAGTATTAATGATTATACTTTTAGTTTTCTCATTAAAAAGACCTTCGAGCTCATCTTTGTCTAAAACCCAATCAGCAGAAGTTGGTAACCTTCCTTCCACATTTTTCTACAATCAAGTATATCAAAAATCAGTAATCCATTGTTTTATTTTAAATATGAAAACAATTAGGTTTGTTTATCAGTTGATGGTAAACAAAAATATTTCATAATTTTATAAAGATAATAATTTATCAATCTTATTTATGTATTTATTTATTACTGATTTCAAAACTATTTAAGTAAGTATTAATAATAATGTATCATTTTCTTTAATAAACTTAGTTTTTGGTACCTATCATCATATAAAGAGCGATATGTACACAAAAAGGATTTATATGCATATCAAAATGAAATGAATAGTAAGAATACACATAATTAATATTAAAATATTTAAAATAAATTTGTGAAACATCACAGAAGTGTTATCTAAAACTATAAGCAACTTTTATTAGTATGGCTATCTAGATCTGAAGGAATATATGAATATTACTTTTTCTTGGTATTCATTATGTACAATAATCATTGGAAGCATGTATAAAATATTGCTGCAACTATTTATGTTAAAAATATTACAAGAAATAAAACTACTAAAACAGTATACATAATTACCAATCTAAGGGGTATAAACCTTGGTATTCCTCCAGCATACCTAACCATTGGTTCATAACAGTCATAAAATGGTTCTATAATAATAACTTCATCTCCAACTTCTGTATGGCCCATAATAGCTGAAAATAAAGCTTCATATGCACCGATAGTAGTAATAACTTCAGATTTTTCATTTATTTCCCTTCCTATTAACTTAGAATATAATTTTGCTATTGCAGATACAAGTCTTGGATGCCCCTAAAATACATAATTTTTAAGGTAATTAATAATTGGTTTAATAATAATTTTGGAATAAAAAAACTCACAAATCCCCTTGTATACTGGTGGAGCATATAATCAGATTGTGTAGAAGCTTTCGCTAAAGCATCCATAACATACTGAGGTGGTGGATAATCAGGAAAGCCTTGTCCAAGATTTAAAGGTTTATAATCTATTGCTAATTGAATATACTCAGTCCTATAAAAATAAAGATAATTCGCTTATTATAAAAATTATAAACAATTCCTATACAATTTCACAACCTTAGGAAAAAACAACAAAATATTAATAACCTAGAACCACTACTCCTTTAAAGACCAAACAATATCCAAATTTGTATACCTCAAAACAAACAGATGGGAATGAAGACCCAGGATGACCCAAAATCACAAGGTAAGGGAAAACAACAAAAATCAACCTCCATTATGAAGAGACTAAATGATTTTTATCTATAATTTAAAATCATAAATAGGTAACATTCAAATAATATTAATATTTTTTTCCCAATGTTAGAATTTTTGTTTTAGTCATGTAAATATTGTTAAATATCAATTCTTGACTAGAAGATTATTAAAGACTAATAAAGAACGTTTATTATAAAAATTATAAAAGCTACTAACCAAACACTCTCCTTGGTACCTTTATATCTTTTGGGTAAGTCAAACGTTTTCTCAATTGTAGACATAGCTGGAGTAGTTGAGATAGTTCTTTTTAATACTAAATTCCGGTCCAATTTACTAGAAGTTCTGTAAAAATATGTGGATAATGTTTTTAACATCTAAAAAAAAAACATACAATATTCATACCTTAATTTTAATAAAAAATTATATATTTTTTATTTAAATATTATCAACAAAAAACAGTATAGAGGTAGTTCAAATAATCCTGTCAAATTATTGTCCCAATTTATCTACTCACTGTTTTTTTTGGTTATGTCAGATGAATGAGCTGGAAATATAATGAATTTTGTGAGGTTAGTTTAGTTCACAGTTAAATGATAATCATGCACATACTTTGATTTATGTGTAATCATGTTTATAGCATATAATTATCATGACATTAATCTTAATTTAAAATTAGATGATAAATAAAAATACGTTAATGGAAAACGGTACATTTTACTTCGATTTTCAAAATGTTTGAATTCTGCGGTGCGGTGTTGTCAGTTCAAATCATAAATCTCCGAAACCTTAGATATAGATGAACATCGTAAAAAAAATTGACCCCTGCATGATGAGGGCCATAATAACTATGAGCAGTGTTGCTTGCTAGATGACCGAAACGAAATTATTGTAGAATGCTGTAGACATTACCGATTCTATCATGATTTTATCGTACAATACTGACCTTATTAGTGTGACGTCATCGGAGGGTGGTTAAAGGGGTTATTAGGGTTAGGTTAATTGAAAAATATAATTTTATTGAATAAACGTGGAAAAAACTTAAAAGAATATTTTTTTTTTCATTGTACGACTAAAGAGTGTAAAGCTAAACGAAATCGGAAAATACGAAAAGAACAATCCTCTTATTGCCTCTCGCTGAAAATCGGTCGTCTGTAATTCCCCGAAGAACAAAATCTCAGCCAGCGCCAAACATAATAATCTCAAGGTCGCCCGGTAGTTCTTTTTATATTATTATTTTTAAGGTCAGCTAATTTAATATATATTTTTTATCAACATTCAGAAATTATCGTACATTTATCCATTTATGGATCGTATATTGAACATTTTACCCTGCTTGTATTTATTGTACAAAATACGATAATTATCGTACATCTGGCAACTCTGTAACTGATAAGATGGCACATGACATGTTACTATTTACAGGACAGAATCGGCTCGAGGAGTAAGTGTCCATATATTAATTTTTACATAAATAATTTGTAGCATACCAAAACATTTTCGGAAATATTGGTTGATATTCATAGAAAGACCATTTGATAACTATTTTGTTTCGCATGAATAAAACTGTTCAGATGCATTTGAATCTTTTGGAAACTATGCACATGAGAATAAAGCGTATTGGAATAATATTTTTTTCCAAACCATCATATAAATATACCTGTTTCCCTAGAAATTTTTCAGAATCGGTGTATAATAATTAAACCGGTAAGTTCAAAAACCGTACATGTCCAAAATCAGCCTTCCGAGAAAAACAATGAAAACCTTTTAACGAGTATCGAATATGTACGGTTTTTCGCCTAATTTCACAGGTGTAATCAACTTTACTACGTTAATGGATGGTATCTAGCAGTGGCGGCTCGTGGGCACTAGCGGCAGTGGGACACACACTGGAAAGAAATCCCGGGATTCGTTTTTCCTTTAGGAAAACAAGTTCTCCGCTTAATGAAAATTAAATGTATTTCAAAAAAAATTAAATATTACAAAATTAAAGACTTACTGCTAGGTACCGCTGCAGTAGTATACTATTTCTTATAGTTGAAGTCCATTCTTCTGGATTTTTGGCTTGCGAAGTGATCGATGACCAGCTTATTAAAATTTAAAGTATGTGTTGAAACCCACATACTTTGATTTACTTTTACTATACAAAGAATGGTCGCACTGCGCAGCTTTCTGAGTGCCTTTTAAAAGGAGATAGAAAACTCCGCCATTTTGATCCCTTATTACGTATTGCCTACATCTTGGCGCAATATTTTTAATAGGTGCGTTTTAATCATCCGCTGCTGCTTCGGAATTGTCGGTTTTCTTGTTTTAATCTGACAGGTTAAAACGACTAAACCGACAATTCCGGAAGCAGAAGCGGATGATTAAAACGCACCTGATATTTTGCTTTCTGCTCTCAGTGTCGGTGAATATTATTTTTGGAGTCACAGTTTATTGCTAAAGAATCAGTTAGCTCACTCGGACCAGTTGAAAGTTCCAAAATAACATCCACTCCAGGGATACAAATTCAGGATACGCAGAAGACTGCTGTTTTATTATAGGCGGTTATCATATATTGTACTATCCGAGTTGCGCAGTGTATAAACTGGTGGCAGAGTGCGCGATCTGATTCTTTAGCTATAAACTGTGGCATAGGAATCAAAATGGCCGCGCCCTATGTTGGGCGTGTCGGACCTCCTTCTTGCCCCGTATAGTAATCTAAGTATGTGCATATAATCGTCGGAAGTCCAGGAAAAACTCATCTATGGACGTCCAGACATCCAAAATTGTATATCGAATAGACGTCCAATGGACCTATTTGTTCTGCCTGGGTGTCTTCATAGTTGAAGTTTTGCAAACGCCTGAAGATGGGAGAAGAAGGAGTTAGAGAAGAAGTAATTGTAACTATTTGTATTGATATCTGATGCTACGTTTGATTTTAAAACAAAAGACTATGTTTGTATGTTGTGAATAGTATTTAAAAGCGTGAAAAAAAACTTCCGTTTTGCGATTCATACTGATTGAATAGAGAAAAATTTGTAAAATATAAAATTTTATAATGTAACAGGAAAAATTCATAATGATTGACTTCCCTTTACCTTCATTTGGTGTAATAATTCTACTCGCACACTTTTTATTTAAATAAATGTTGCGCTTTATTACTGAATATAATATACAAAAAGATGATGCAAACAAATATATTATCACATCATACTGTGAGTGCAAACACACGCATTTATCATTTTTTATTATAGAAGTATCACAGCGAGGTATTACGTATAACATACAGGGGGTCCTCGTCCGTACCCGTAGTCGGCCACTGTCGCCGGGTCTGAGTAAATGTACTTACATATTTATGATATTGAATTTTTTAATCTCCCATATTCATATCTTTTAAGAACTCGCTTAGTTCTGACCAATAACAAAGGTAAAAGATAATAATTAGAATTAAATGTTTGTTGTGTTTAGTCTAAGTACCTACACAGTGAAGCTGATAAGTATATCTATTGCAGATAAATTAATATTACAGATAACAGTATAGGTTAAAGTTAAAACAGAATTATTATAATTATTTTAAAAGGTAAGTTATTTTTTAACATGCCAAAGTTATACTAATAATTTAACACTAGATAAACTAGATAAACGATACTTTCATAGGTCGAAAGATCATATTTGAATATTTTTAACGAAAATTTGCTAAAAATAAACATAAACATTTTTGATATTGCGTATATATAGTCTTTGACTATATTAAATACCTATTATTAAAGTATAAGCTTGTATAAAAATAAGTCAGTTTAATCTAACAAATAAATCTAGTTCGTCTAGTCTAGAAGTAGAGTTAATACTTTTAGAATTATTTTTTTGACAAAAAAATTTTGAATCCTAAAAACAGATGCTTCTGTTCTATCAAATTTTATTGCTTATTATTATTAATAACTTCATACAGGGTGTAGCAATGATAACTTGACTTCCCAGAAACTCAAATACAGAAGTTTTTTAAATAAAAAAAAAGACACGTCAGTTTTTGGCAAGAGGACAAATTGTCATATAAAATTCATATCCTCAAATCCAACCTCCTGGAGCCCAGCAGAAATCTCCTATTTTTTTTATTAGCAAGTATGGTTGAATAACACACCATTTGAAAGATTTTTATTACTATAGAACCGCATTATTTTTTTAATTTATGAAATAACTGAAGATATTTTTGATTGAAGTATTTATTTGGGAATATTAATAATAAAAAAATTAACGAAGGTATTATTGATTCACAATGAAAGGTATTATTTTGTTGAGTCCAATACTTATTTTGGATTATGAGCATTTTTACAATCCTTTTCTGAAATGGATTTTTCGTATTAGTTTGTTGTTGCTGTTTCTTCTTGATTAAATTTAGTCAATTCCTCTCTAAAAATTATATTTTGGAGTCCAATTTTTATCCAGTTAGCTTTTCCCAATCTTTGTTCTTTTAAATCTCATAAAGTTTTACTCCTATTTAAGCATTAAAAGTATTAATTAATTATTATCTGATAATATAATTATTATTTGTTCCATATCAATAAACAAATTGTCATTTTTCAGAAGGAAGTAGAGCTTGTAAAAATGTCTAAAATTGATCAGAGATTTGTGCTGCCACAACGATATGCTGGAGCTGAGCCAAGTGTTTGGTGAGTGCATTCCATTAAGAAATAATAGCTTATATTTATTTTAAATTACCTAGATTAAGTTTAAGTATTGTTTAATTACACTACTTATATCTCAAATACTTATATACTAATTTATACCAACACTCGATCTCCAATATACTACTTATTCAAACTGCAAAAATGGTCTATTTAAATAAAAATGCGGCGTGCCAGACCTGTTCTCGAAAATACCAGTCGTTCTAGAATCTAACTATAAATTGCAATACCATAATCTATTTTTTTTTGCTTTAATTAGATTTATTTTCTCAAAACATTTAAGAAAAACAATCCATTATTATTCCCTTTCTTTTAATTTTATATAGGAATGAATATATCCAAATGGCAATAGATTATAAACCTTTAAACCTCGGTCAAGGTTTTCCAGATTACCCACCTCCTCAATATATTATGGATACTTTAGGACAAGTGGCTACCAAATCTGACCCAATTCTTCATCAGTACACAAGAGGATTCGTGAGTTCAATATCTCAATACAAATTTATAGCAATGCAGAAAATCGCATGCTTGCTTCACAAAAGTGACACAACTCAAAATTCACATTCACATGAGTTAATATCATGAATTTCATCAAGCAACTACATCAACCATCATAATTGATTTAACTTGGTGCCATTTCTGGTAGTACGGTTGCCTTCACAGTATTAACTCTACAGATTTTAATTTTCAGATGTGTCACTTACTAAATAAGGGTTTAAAATATATTATTTTTTATTTGTAACGTTTAAGGGTCATCCTAGATTGGTCCGTGCACTTTCGAAACTTTACTCAAAACTCGTAGGAAGACAAATCAACGAAAGAACTGAAATTGTCACTACCAGCGGAGCTTACGAGGCGTTATTTTCTGCTATTTCAGGACATACAGATGTAGGAGACGAAGTAATAGTTATAGAACCATTTTTTGATTGTTATGAACCAATGATTAAATATGCTGGTGGAACGCCTAAATTCATCCCTTTGAGATTGGTAAGGATGCTAATTTTATATCCTTTGTCAAAATTTGATATCAATTTTCTATATTCACTAAAAATTACTAGCTTTAGTCTGAATGAAAGTGGAGTGCAGTAAACTGCGCTAGTTCAGTGTGATGTCATTTTGGTTCCACTGGCATTTAATTCTAACCAAACTTTTAACAGGAACATCAATAAATTTGACATATACGTTTTTACTGTTTTAAATTTATTTTTAATTATTGTTTACAAGTCATAAAAAATAGTTTAAAGGTATGTAATTTGTAACTAAACGTTTGTATATTTGATGCATGTTATCTACTTACTTTAGGAATATATTTATAAAAGTGAAAAAACGATATAATTTAGGTAAACAAAACGAACAAAACGCACTCAAAAAATCTACTGTCACTTTAATTGTCAGTGGAACCATAAACATCATCACTGAACTAGCGCATTGGGGATATGACGTCACATTTCATAGACTTAAACCTAAACGAAAACTATTAGATGTATTAAAATTTTCATTATTACTACAAATAAGCATTGAAGGATGATCCTTACAACTTAAAATGTGCATATATTTGTAAGTGTTAAATACCCGGATAAAAAGTAAATTTTTATTTACAACTATAATAAGAACCTATTAAAAAGATTAAGAGCAATAGAACATTTCAACAAATTTCTATAGGTACACATATTTTTGATACCTGATAATCAATAAACAATATATTTTGTGGAGTAGCAACAGGTTTATTAATACACAACTATTACTTTGTTACAAATATTTATATTATAATATTTATAATTAACATAATAGTTGATATAAGTACTTAAAAATAATATATTTTGATTTAATTGTTGAATTTATACATGAGTAATTTTCCTTGTAGCGTTGTTTACATTTTGCAGAGAAATATTGTATTCTGATTTTAGCTGATAAATCATGTACATATAAATGGGTTGAATGTAGACAATGTTAATGTTTTTGCTACTACTGCTGGCTAACAATGCTGGGCTGGGACACCAACAAAAAAAAACAAGGAAGCACAAAGCACTAGATCAGTTTCTATCAATTATACACTTACAATTTACAACAATTCAAGTAACTAGCATATTGAAAATACTTCACGAAAACATATTAAACATAAATCAGTCGAAAGCAATATATTTTTTTTATAATACACCTTTTTAGCTTGATTACTTCTACTTCTTGCAATGTCCTCAAATAAAACGAGCAATAATACGTAACAATAGCAATAAAACAAACACTGAAGTGTATTTGTGGTATTTTTGATCTAAATCCACTATCAAAATAATAAATTTTCGGTTTTTAAGTTGTGAATGTATTACAAAAACTAATTCGATAAAATGTAAACAAGAGTTTGTATTTGTGTACGAAATATGGGTTGCCTGCGCATGGTAGCTAGTTTTTAACCGGATTTATGACAAGTGATAGATTATGTCACGAAAACGTCAGCGCAGTAAAAGTTGCGCGTCTTTTTCCCGCCCAGGGAGTGTCATAGGCCTGCTATGGGGTGCTAATCAATTGCTATTGACATGCAGACCATGTAGCAGAGATAGAAGCATGTGGGTGAAAGCAAGGGCTAATCAGGTTCTGATCCAGTTCAGGATGGGAACTTACCCACTAAACATGAAACATTACCAGTCTTTTTTGTAACGTTTCTCATAGAGACTTTTCTTGATACATTTTTGAAACGATACTAAAGTATTTCATCAAAGTTCCTACTTTTACCTTTGATATTAATTTAGATGATTGTATTATCATACTTTTTCTGTAAAATTTTCTGGGATTAGAAATTAGAAGTTTAACTTACTTGTCTTCTAAGCTTTTATCTTCAAATTTATTTATTTTTACTCTGTTTTATATAGATGAAATATAAAATATTTATATAACATGGTCCATGTAAAATGTAAAAGATAAAAATAAGAAGGTATGAACTGTATCGTATTTGGAACGTCACATTTTGGTTCATTAATTTTTATGGGCTTTTATAATAACATCTATAAGAAGTAAAAATACTCTCTAGGATATGGACAGGAATGTCACATCTGATTTGTTAAAAAGATATCATTTTTGGGAACTTCCAATAAAGTTGAATAACGTAACAAGGTATATAGCGCTGTAATATCACCACAACGTCTATATTGTTTCATCACAAAAGTAAACGTCCCTACTCTGGGCTTAGACGGTTATGAGTCCGTCCTACAGATGAAAACAAGAGTAAAAATGAGAGTTACTATGTAACAATGTGATGTAAAGTTCTCATTAATTTAACGTTTTTATGCATAGTGGGTACTCAACTCAGACCTGTATTGCGAAAAGTTTGAGAACTCCTCTCATAAACTATTACATTATAAATGCAATGTAATTGAGATAATCGGTTATTTTTATTTAAGAAAGAAGTCGCTGAGAGATTGCCTACATCCGCAGATTGGGTTTTAGATAAAAAAGAATTGGAAAATCTTTTTAACGAAAAAACAAAAATAATAATACTGAATACTCCTAATAATCCACTAGGAAAGGTATTCTCGATGGAAGAACTGACTCATATAGCTGATCTTTGTAAAAAATGGAACGTACTTTGTATATCCGACGAAGTATATGAATGGTTGGTGTACAAACCGCATAAGCATATCAGAATAGGTAAGCAAACATTTTTATTATCTAATAAGTATTTTATTTTTTTTTAAGTACTAATGACTATGATAATAGATAGCAAGTTCCTAACCTTTTAAGCATACTTCGTAAGTTTTTATTCTACAAAACTCTACTAGATATATTTTTTCTACGGCCAATACTATTAGTGTTTTATGACTATTCTAATTTCAATAAGAAAATTATTTTTTCTACTTATGATATTCTCAAAACGTAGTGATAAAATATTTCTAGAAAATGTTTTTCTTTTCTTTTCCAGCTACTTTACCCGGCATGTGGGAGAGAACCATAACGATAGGATCAGCCGGAAAAACGTTCAGTGTTACTGGTTGGAAAGTAGGTTGGGCATATTGCCCGGCAAATTTAATGAAAAACCTCCAGATGGTACACCAAAATAGCGTTTATACCGGGGTCACACCTATCCAGGTAAATACATATTTAAAGTAACATTTTCGCGTATGTACTGGTTGGGGCTTTCAAGAGACAATAATATATCGCGAATAATGAACTCGGTATATTTTTAATTTAATTTAGGGAACAGGGTTGGCTATCAGATTTTTGCTGAATATGTTAGATGTATTTCCAACATTTTGGTTAGATTAAACGTTTACATACTGATTAGGATAATACCATGACTTCATTATCGAAAAAAACGAAAAATTTTCTTATATACGATGTGTTATTTAACTTCCAGCTATCCTGCCAACCAAATAATTTTATAATTTTCTATTTATGCTTATAAAAGTTATGCAACAATACGAACATAAGTAATATGTGTTGTATACTGCCGTCATAAGCCAAACCCCCGTAACTGACAAATTACAAATATTTGAGATTATTTGACCATTCTGATACTAACGCTTTTTTCCTCTTAGAAAGTAAGCAAAATCCCCGTGATATTTATTCTGTATCCTAAAATGTCAATATGATTCTACAGCGTAACTAACATTTTTGTAGAGCATTCTTAGTAAAAACCTTTTAACCAACCAGCCGACAGAAAAATTAAATGAAACCTAATTTTACTAATGATCTACTGGTAAAAAGATGAACCTTTCTTATTTATGCGCCATCATTACCAATAAATATTATATTCTAGGAGCTTGGGGGCGGAGGTAATTTGCCCACAAAATATTTAAAGCTGCTAATCCTATAGGTAATTTGCCCACAGCAAGTAAAAGGTCATCTTAATCCTGTTGGTATTTTGCCCAAATTTATTTCTAACTGAATAAATCATAATAGATATTTTCATTTATTATTTTTTATATATTATCGAAAAGTAAAAACACATTATTAATTAAACTAAAAATTATATTAAACACTAATTTTTATTATTATAAAAAAGTAAGTATACATAAGTTATATTATATTTTTTATATATTTATATTTTATTTACATATTTTTCAACTGGGAGGGATAAATGTGATACAAATTTTATATACTCTAATCTGCTGCAGATCAAATTGCTGTATAAATTTTTCTAAACACTGAATTTTTTGTTTTACACTTTTGTCTTTGATTTTCTTAGGTATACTTAAGCTTTGTATTGTGACATACGTGTCGATTTGAAAGTCTTTAAGCTTTTCTATAAAAATATATACAGAAGGATGTGTACAGTAGAATGAAGAATTAAACCTTGAATGAAACGACTCACAGGCATTTGTAGTTCTTGTAATTGAAGCTGTTTTTTCTGCCCATATACTTGGAGGAAATGTAGAATTTTCTTCAATATATGTTTCTAATAGGTAATCGGCATACCTATCGAGAACGGCATTTTCTGGTTTACTATTAAGTCAAACACAAAACAGTCTCCAACTTCATCGGCGTTTAAATATGTCAACCCAAATGATGTTTTAAGCCATTTTCCGGTATCACTGTTAGTTGTATATTCAGTCATTAATCCCAGAGACTGAATTTTACGATACCACGCTTGATGTAGATGAAATCGGCAGCCATTGATTACAGTATTAGGCCACATATAAATTAACGCCTTATGAATTGCTATTTCAAAATCAACGAACACTTTAGATGGATTTAAAGCAATACTGTAAGTTTCCAAAATTTTATAATGCAATAACGAAAACAAATGTTTGTATATATCGGTAGATTTGTTAGGTAATAAACAATATACCAGGGGCACATAGTGTCCATTACACAGCCCATGAATGGTAAATAATTGTAGGAAAAACTTTGTACAATACGAAAATGTTCCATCCATATACAAGACGTTCATTTTACACAAAGTACAAATATTTGTCTCACATGTAAATACAATAATATTATTTTCTCTGCTATTTATTAAAAGAAAATGTTCACCTTTACTGGTTTTAAATGTATTAGAATATAAGTCAACTGCATCATGCACTTCTTGTATATTTGTAGGTAATGGACCTGGTAGTATTTTGCGACGACTGTTGTATATAGTTTTTCTTATGTAGGACACATCAATTGTAGTTAGTGACTCTGGTAAATTAGTAGCAAGTACTTTACGGATAATTTTAGAAGGTTTTTCCGAAATATCATCAACTGCTTTTCGCTTACACGAATTAGAAATAATTTTCCTGTTTAATTTCGGTTCATTTGCTTCATGGCTATGAATTAGGTTGCCTCTGGATACTAAAAGTTCAGGACCAATTGTAAATACAGTGGCATTACAAGCATTTGTTTTTCTTTGGGAGCATCTCCAAGAAACTTCTCCACTTTTCATTTCTCTATCTTTGGCAAACGTAAAATTCTCCAAAAGGAGTACATCTTTCCCGCGTGTGCTTCTAATCAATGTAGCTGACATTATAGAAATAATTATTGTTTATAAACACTCGAATTACAATCATCAACGTATAAAAACTGACTGAAATATAAACAGTAAACACCCAAAGTAAGTACCTATTAGAATTATTAATAATCAGGTAGGTACCTATTTGTGGGCGGATGTAATTTGCGGGTTTAGGTACCTGAATGCTACTGTGGGCAAAATACCAGTAAGATTAACGCACCCCTTTACTTACACAGGTAGAAAACAGAGATTTGTGGGCAAAAAGGACCCGCCGGAGCTTGGTAATGACGTGCTCTTAGCGCGCTAAGCTTGGATTAGATCATTAATACAATAAACAAAAACTGCGATGATATTTCCAAAATTATAAAATTAACACTACAGCAAATAGTATTATCTTTTTAAGAACAAAACATCGTTTATCAGTAAAAACAACATTCTTTTGCTTGCAAATGACTTTTTTTTTTAATAAAAAAATGATTCTATAAAATACTGGGTGATCCAATATAAGTTTGGTTGTGTATAGCTGTTGAATATTTATATGTATCCATTATAAAGCAGCTCAGTTTTTAGGAATCCGTTGCGATCGCTTTTGAAAAGGAAATGGAACGATTAGATAGCGAAGAATGTTTCTTTAACTCTTTGTCCAAAGAACTTGAAGCGAAAAGAGATTACATGGCTAAAGTTCTTGTAGATGTAGGGATGAGACCAACAGTACCTGATGGAGGTTATTTCATGATTGCCGATTGGTCTCCTCTTGGTAAGGAACCTATTATTATTGTGCAATTATCAGTGAGGATTTAGCTAACTTTATTTTATATCAGTTTTGAAGTAGTAAAGTTGTTTAATTTAATATTCTATTTTGCAGAGTCTAAGGTAGACCTAACTGCAGAAAAAGATAAATACAAGGATTACAGATTTACAAAATGGATGTCAAAGAAAGTTGGACTCCAAGGCATTCCTCCTACAGTATTTTACAGCACCGCCAACAAGCATTTAGTCGAAAATTACGTCAGATATTGCTTTATAAAGGTACCGAAACAATATATATCTAGGTATATTTACTTATTTAAATAAAATGATCTCGTGATGGCATTTCACAGACAGTTTTGTAAATCTAAAGGTAATTATGATGATAATAACCTAAGATCGTCTATGACACAGAGTAATTGTTTCTTTCTAATTCCCACACTCGTCTAACTCTCGTGTCTTTAATCTAAGAGAACAACTACAAACAAAACTTTGTACACGACTTCAATTTAATTATCAATAATTTACATTTTATTTATTATATTATTTATATTTATATATATTTTAATTTTAGAAAGACGAAACTTTACAAGAAGCTGAAGAAATTTTGCAGAGATGGAAGAGTACAGGAAAATAGATTATTTATTTTTTCCTAATAATAATATTAAAGTTTTAAAATAATTACTTACTGTTTGTTTTATTTATTTAAATACATAATTAAGAATCTGGAACATTTTCTTTTTTTAGATTTTGAAACCGATTTGACGGTAGATATACAGGGAAAAAGTTATGGTGGCTCTAAACAGGGTCTTCTGGAAAGAATGTCTGCGTTGCTATGGAGACGGCCTCTTCGATGCACTATTTCGAAGTTATAGTGTTGCCGTCTTTCTATCCATCTAGCAATTTGTCCTTCAGGTCTTTTAAAATTCATCAGCCACTGCAAGGCACTTTTGTCACTTCTAATTATAAAACTTCTGTTAAGAAGGTACGTATGGAAGTGTTCAAGGACTTTGACAATAGCTAATAGTTTTTTCCTGGTGACGCAGTAATTCTTCTCAGCTTTCCCCAAGGTCTTACTAAAGTACGCAATTACTTTCTATTATCTCTCTTGTTTTTGGGATAGCACGGCGCCCACGCCGTGTTGGGATGCGTCGTAGTCCAAAATAAATTGTCCTTTTTCTCGAGGGTAGGCTAGAATGGGTGCTGTAGTCAATCGCTTCTTCAACTCGGTGAAGGCATTTTGGCAATCCGGCGTCCAGTGAAATAGACTACTGTTTTCAGTTACTCGATGAAGGGGTTTAGCAATTCGGCCAAAGTCTTTAACGAATTTCCGATAATATGAGCACAGTCCAAGAAAACTTCTAATTTCTCTTTTATCTTTTGGTTTAGGCCAATCTTTGGTAGCGATAATTTTCTATGGATCAGTTTTGATTCCTTCCGCGGAAAAGATGTGTACCAAATAATAAGCTTTCGATTGGAATAGTGAACATTTATTGTGATTAAGCTTTAGATTGGCATTTCTTAATCTGTCAAATACTTCACTCAAATTTATGAGACGTTCGTCAAAAGTTTTTGACATGATCATTATGTCATCGAGATAAACTAGATAAGTTTTTCAGGTTAATCCTTTCAAAACAATTTCCATTAGTCGTTCAAAGGTAGCTGGGGCATTACAGAGACCAAACGGGAGAACCTGGAATCAGTATAGACCGCTGTCAGTTGAAAAAGCTGTTTTATCTCGATCGTCAGGGTTTACTTCCACTTGCCAGTATCCGCTCTTCAAGTCTAGCGTGGAAAACCATTTTGCATCTGATAGGGTGTTTAGTGTGTCGTCTATTCGTGGAAGTGGATAGCTGTCTTTTTGCGTTATCTGATTTAATCTTCTATAGTCTACACAAAAACGAGTAGATCCGTCTTTCTTGGTTACTAGGACCACAGGTGAGCACCAGGGACCAGAAGCTTCTTCAATAATATTTGCTTCCATCATAACCTGTATCATATTTGCTACTTCTTTCTGTTTAGCAAATGGAAGTCTTCTAGGTGCTTGCCGTATTGGCCTTGCATCGCCTGTATAGATTCGATGCTGGACAAGATTTTCCTGTCTAGAAAATGTCGCAGTTGGTATTGATAAATTCTTTGTCTTCTCTAAGTTCTTCAGTTGTCAGATGGTCATAATTTTTAACTAGCCGTTTCACAAAGCTGGCGTCAACTGGGTTACTTGTGGTGGTTTTCCCCGTAAAACTGCCTTCGCACTTGATTATATTTTCCCACCATCACCAAATTGTAATTCTAAGGAACTTATTCGACAAAAAGCTCAGCCAGATTAATAACAACTGTCTAGGTAGGTTCAATAACCTTTAAAAGCCTATCACAACGCTAATGGGGAGCTGAAGAACAAAATACGGCTGAGAGTCTGGAATACTTATCTACATGTCAGTTACTAAAACAGACTGAAGGCTTCTCAGCACCGTACAAAATGGATCTCTACGTATTTACTTGGGAGTGATCCGGTTAAGCCCAGTGGATAGCCTATGCTGCGAAGACAATGAGCCTCCTCTTTGGCTAAGAAGACAAAAACTTCTCTCTATATACTGTTTCAGAATATCTGTAAATCCACTAAATCCAGCCCATAAAGTCATACACAAGTAGAACCTAAATCCCTCAGAAACCCAGAAGAATTCAACCAGTCAGCCATTGTTTGCCATCACTTCTTTCCAATATAGATCTTAAACAAACTACACATATTCGTTCCTTCACTCCTCCTTGAAATAAGAATTTACTGAAAATCAACCTAAGCTTAAGCAATTACTCCGAACATGACACCTTCAACGAGCTCCTAAGACAAAACTTCCTAGATATTATCTAGTAATGCAATAGGATGCTCAGTTACTCTCTCTTTCTTTTTCTCTCTCAAACAACTGTCTCCTCAAGTGTACTTCTATCTTTCTCATACATAAATACTTCAAGCTTTCAATACTGTAACCCAAAATAACAAAAAAGTTGCAATATGCACGGATTCTCTCGCCTCGATCAAATCCATTCAAAACATATGCAGCTCTCATCCCCTCGCACAAGCCGTACATAAACGATAGCAGTAGCTCTCTTCTGAAGGATCAACCGTAACTCTATTGTGGATTCTCTTACAGGAAACGAACTGGCATACTGTCCAGCAAAAGAATCATCAACATCCAATCTTCTTATCGAAGGAGTTCAACTGTGTAAAGATCTAAAAAACTTCTTTAAATGTAGGACTTATTCGTCATGGCAAGAACACTGGACCAGAATACATTCCAAGTTACATGGGGACCGCCAATTCGTCAAGCCGTTCCACCTCCATTACCAAGAATTGGACACACAAATCTCACTCACAGCCACTTAATAATTTCAGAAACTACAACAACACCTTATCTGCAAAACACTTTCTCACTGAATTTCAGCAATACTCAGTCAAAAGAAGACTATTAGGACTTTAAGCACCTCGTCAGAAATTCTCAATTCACCGGACAAGATATATAGATATACTGGCACTATTGCTCACAGTCTATTTTAAGTTTATGTTTAAGGATGACAGAGATAAGGAACATATTGGAGTATATTCCACATATTAAGCCTTGTTTTATTTTAGAAACGTCGGTGTAGATATGAATTGTAACTGCCACTTCCGACTCTTTCAAATAAAAGTACTGCTGCTCAGAAAAGTTTGAGAATTTCTAGCATGCTATTTATATTTGCTTTTTTTATATTTTACACGTCTTTTTACTATTAATTCACTATAATTATGCATTGTAATTATTTTTCAGAACAGGCGTTTTCCTCAATTATTAATAAATATTAATTTCCAGTTTTGCCACAATTATAGTTGTTTCGAATCAAGATTGAATGTGATGCATCCGGTCTAAATGAAATCCTATATTATCCACTTTTACTTTCGTTTAGTTTTATTGACTGTGTTGGCACAGTAACCAACCAGTTGTTTGATTGTTAAGAACGAATCTTTAAAATGAGTTTAAAATTTGTCAGTTTCATCTGTCATCGGGATAGGGTTGAAATCGGTTGCCTAAACTTTTTACTTTTACGTTGGATTTAAATAAATTATGAATAGTGTCTGAATAAAATTATAGTAATGGATTTACTTGCTACACCAAATCCGCATTTCATACCTGGGTATGTTTAAATATAAGTAGATTTCTTTGTTAATAATTTTAAATCATCATGTACATAAACATAGGTATATTTATAACATTTTTGGTATCATTATATTTTAAGATACCATCTTCATCTCATCATAATCAACACTGAAGCTATCTCTAACTTGACTCATCTCTTCTACTGCTTTTAAAAGGACAGTAAGCTTAAACATCTATGCTTGAATAAGCAATTAAAGAATCTAATGGTTCTGATTTTAGGTACACAGGATTTTGTCCACAGTATAAATATAGAATAGGCGATACTTACGGTACTACCACTCATAAAGTACTACTTGATCCAGCTGTTCACCATGCTGAAAAATTAGTATTATCTGATAGAAACGTTGATGATTATAACGTAAGAAATTTTCCATAAATATATGTAAAAATAGTTTATAGGTATAACTTATTTTTATAAAATTATGATACCACACTATTTTGAGTAACCATAAATAAAAATCATGACTTTAGGTACCTAATATTAAAACATACAAACAAATAGTATAGTAAGAGCATTTTGTCTACCAATAATATTTCCGTTTTAGCCCAAATTGCATAAAAAAAAGAACATATACATACAAAAACGAAAAATACACATACACGTTTATGTACGAATAAAACTGGTAGCAACAGAGCTCAATTTGCCTTCTAAGCAGTAAAATAAGTGTGTACATTATATCGCTATTCCAGAAGAACAATGACGTAACTGCCAAAATGATAATTGTTCAGGAAACGCAAAAAACTGAAATTAATTTCTTAAACTCCATAATTCAAACGTTAATTTACATATGGAGTTGGGACTGGGCAAATGGTTGCAATATGGCTCACGATGAAGTTCAAAATAATTTTTTTGTGGTAAAATTTACGCCGTACCCCTACCATCACTTTCTTTTGCAAATGCGTCCTTGCTCTTCTAAAATTATGACTCAAAGTAACAAATTCGGACAAAAAGGAAACGAAAAAAAAAAAATAGTTCCGGATAATTGCCTTCTAAGGTACCTAGGTATTATTTTATTAGATAGTTTCTAGGTACTTAGCTGAAAAGAAAGAGTGTAAAAACTAAACTAAACTAGATTGTAGATTATTTTATATGAACTAAACAAAGTACACTTACGTCGTTGTCGCACTGGAATTACGGTTAAAGTGGTTCTAATTACGCGTAATTTCACAATTGCGTCGTTGTTCCACCGAAATCATTCGGAGATGTTCTTCTGTAATTATGTCACAAACAGCTGTTATTTCGACAACGACGCAACATGTTCTAGAAGCTATTAAAGCAACTACAGTTATGTCGTTTTTCTCCCATATGTGTAACTTACTTTTGAGAACAGTGAAGTACTTAATTACAATTACCCTAATTTTGCAGTTACATCATTGTTGTTCTGGAGCAGTGATATATTGATGTATATGTATATAATACATCTAAAACACGTCTCTATACATTACCGGTGATGGATTGTCTGACTGATTAAACGTTAACGATTATTGTCTTGACCCATTCAAAATTATTTTTCAGATATTTCGACCACCTTTGAGAGATATAGATTTAGTAAATGATAGACATGGAGATACAATTTATAAACATCCCATGTCACCGTTGTATGAAGGTAACAGAATTATTAAAAACGATGTTGCGCTAAATCTTGGTATTTATATACAAATATTTTTATAGGTTTTGTTCCTAGGGAGCATGGTAAGTTTGGTCAAAGATTTACAGTACAGGCAACTGAAGCTCTGTCTGATTTCGAGAAATCCCAAATGATCAAAAGAGAAAACCTTAATCAGATTACGAAAATTGGGTATCTACAAGACAACAGGTGGGATCCGAAAACTTTGGAAGAAAAACAAGTATTTAATTATATTTTTATTACGTCTTTTAAATGGAAAATACATTTTATTATTTTGTTAGTTGGCCCAAGGTGTTTTCAAGTTACCATTGATGGAAGTAAGACCAGAATGTGCAGGGCTTTTAAGGAATTTGCCGATTACAGAGGCTCCTATTACACCGCCAAGTCATTCAGCGAGTCCTTATTTTTGTGATAATGATAGGTCTGACAAATATTTAAAAGCAGGTACGTCATTACTTTAAAAATTGATAAAGAAGAAAATTGAGGAAAAGTTTAAAATTTTAATTTTTTTAGTGTTTTCGTTGGCAATAAAGCAATAATAATTTCTTAAGAATAAAATGTGTGTGGATTTTATCTCTAATTTATATACTAAATGGATTTTAATTGAATAGACTGTACTCAATATAATTGATACTTATACAGAAAGTTATTGTTGGGCACATCAAAGTTTTTGGTACAAAATGTTAATTAAAGATATTTTAGACTGGATTATTTTTTTAACATTGTTTCAAATTTACACAAAATAAAAAAGAAATCACTTATTTTGATATCTCGTAAACACGTGATCTATAAATTCACTCCATTTTACTCATAATATTTCTTCTCTTAATTTTATAAATTTTTAAAATGTTTACCTATGAAATGATTGCCTAACTTTTTTATTACAAATATTTTGGCATATATAATCGTCATCTAAACCTTCTAAAATTATAATTTCTAATGCCTCTTCAATATTATGTACCTACTATTATAGACAACAAAAAAGATGAACTATAATTATTTAAAATGAGGTTGGAAATAAGTAAAAAGACAAGGATTCTAATGTCAAAATTTCAGATTTGCAGTAAGTCTGATTTTAGCATGGAATTTATTTGACTCTATGAACCGTGGGTTGGTTACAGTACAAGGTTGAGAATGAACAAGAATCTGTCTGTGTCCATAAGATTATGGTTTACTTTTTGAAGTAACATTGTTGAATTCTTGGTTTAAAATAGTTTAGAACAGTTTAAAACCATTTACAATTATTTTAACAGTAACCAAGGCGTATCTATTCTATCCGACATCTTTGATTATCTATGTGCTGGTCGAATTATTTTAAATCCAACTCTGTCACAATTTTATGATATTTGACAAATTCTGTCATTTCAACTTAAGTTCTATGCTATCAAAATTCCAATGTCATCAGTTTGTCATGATTTATTAGCAGTTATAAATTACCAGGGAATTTAAAATTTTTGAATAAATTAATTTATATAAATTGACAATATGTATAGCAAAGTATATGATTCTTATCTTCAACAAAGACGATATGTGGTTGGATCAGGAAAAAGTCAGTATAAGTTTTATTTATATTATGGCATTTTCGATTGGAATATTCAGTGCGTTCTGAGTGTATTCTCACTTTTTTCTTTTCCATATCGATAAACAAGGACACAAATACTCTTAGTGGCAATGGAAAACGCCAATAGATCAGTGGTTCCCAAACTGTTTTTGTGCCAAGCCCCATTTAAGCATTTCTGAAACTCTTATGTCCTCTATGTAACATACATACCTTCACTTTTTATATTCAAAAATTTAAATGTTGAGTAAATAAACTTAAATGATGGGGCTTTGGAAGAAATCACTAGGAAACAAACTGTTGTTCAAATGTAATTATCTTCTTTTGGGACTCTAAATTTTTCTCTCTGTCTCTGAGGTCGTACTCAACCGTCAACTTTGTTTCAATCATTCCAAAATGTTTCTAAAAGAATTTACAGAATTGTACGACTGTTCTGATCTAATAAGAACACTAAGGTTAAAACTGCAACTAAAATGTTCAATGTTTGTTTAAAAAGTATAACTAAATAAGTCGCAAGGAACTTCATTTTACTGCTTTAGATTTGTTCATATACATATTATCGAATAATTAAGTGCGCGTGGCAACACCGCAAAGAGACGATAATAAGATTCAACTTTATAAGCAATAATGTAAGACGTGTTTAGTTTTATTACAAGAAATTAAATTTTATACAGTCCACTTTGATAATTTCATTGTTAAAACTAAGTTTGCGTTACGTCAACACATAACACATATTTCAAGTACTTTTTTACGTATTTAAGACCTGTTAATAAATACTTTCATCTATTCGTGTCTTCAATGCCTTCATCTAGACGTGTCTTTAATTAAAATAATACTTTATAAAATAAAACAGTTTTGTATTAATGCGCATAGTATCAAGCAGTAAAAGGCGTTAGATTACTAATTAACAGTTATACAGTAGAGGCTTGTTCTGTTTTTTTCAAAATATGCTGCAAACTGTCTGAGATCCAGTGAAACAGTTGAATATTAAATTAGTCGTCTTGTAAAACTTTTAAACTTTCCATTGGTCAGCTAATATTTGGATAGTTTTCAAAATATTTTTAATAACCAGAACAATTTTTGAATTAGAATCAAAACAAACCCAAAATACGTATTTTTCAGTTTGAATTTTTTTTAGGATTCACCGGGCACGTCCCATTTGGCTACGCCTCGTTCGGTAAACCTAATGCCGAAATGACAAACAGCGCCCTCTGCGATTTTACTTCAAATTACAGGAAGAGGCTTAGCAACGAATGGGCACCCGTGCAAGTTGACAGGCCAAGCCCTCCTGTTTTGATACAACCTACGGAAATTTACCACAAACACATGGGACAAATGCCGAACTATGGTGGACATATACCAGGCTCTATATTTAGGTAAAAGGAACTAAGACAATTTTAAGCGAAATACCATTTGAGATTGGTAATTACCACAAAATTCAAGCGACTTTGCTTATTAATTTGGTAATATTAGGTCTTTTCCTTTGCATCGAAAGTGTAGCACTGAGCTACGTCACTTCTGAAAATATCGTTCCATCCATGCAATTTGTATATATGGAACAATATTTTCAGAATCGGTGTAGCCCAGTGCTACACTTTCGATGCAAAGGAAAAGACCTAAATATATTTGGGACGTCAAAAATCAGTTGTTTTGCATCAAAGTTATAACTAATAGTGTTTTCGACTGGTGAAACTGGTGCGCACTTTTTAACACTCAGTGCAACATTTGTTTTGGACTCGCAAGGGCAGTGCGAACCGGGTCAGTTTTTGAATTTTCAGTTGGAATCAGTTGAACTCAAAAAAATGAACTGGTGCGCACTTTCGTGAACCGAGTGCGGAGACAGATTTTCAGTTTCAGTTCAGTCGTAACAAATATGGCGATGGCAAATGAAGAGTTGTTTCTAAATTGTGTAAATTTTGTAGAATTTGTAAAGAAATATTGAAAACTTCTTCGTCAATTCAGACAAAGAAGATTTATTTAAGGCCAAGTGTAATAAAACTAAACTGCTAAAAATAAAAGATTATATTGAATCAGTGGTGTCGTACCTGGATGACTCCCACGTAGGTACCATAAATATTCTTGTCCTGTATATGCATAGTATACGCTGACATCTTAAGTACTTAGACATAAGTAAGTTTGTTAATATATTGAGAAAATATTCTATAATATAATAATATTAAATATATATTTAAATTGAAAGCTTGGTTAGGATCTTGTTTGGAATTCGGAAGGTACTTCTATTTATTACTCAGATGACAAATGTCAAATATAATACAACGCACTGGTGGTCAACTGCGTTTTCGGTTGAATTAAGTTTGTATGACGTCACTAAATTAAACCAGTGCTGATCAACGAAAACTCGCACTTTACGAGTGTGAACTGATTATGACCAGTCGAAAACGCTATAAAATTTTTCGGTATACACTAGTTCGGTATGATGTCATTTTGGTTCCACTGACATTTAATTCTAACCAAACTTTTAACAGAAACATCAATACATTTGACATATACGTTTTTACTGTTTTTAGTTTATTTCTAAATATTGTTTACAGGTCCTAAAAAATAGTTTAAAGGTATGTAATTGGTAACTAAACGATTGTATATTTGATGTATGTTATCTACTTACTTTAGGAATATATTTATAAATGTGAAAAAACGATATAATTTAGGTAAACAAAACGAACAAAAGGCACTCAAAAAATCTACTGTCACTTTATTTGTCAATGGAATCATAATTACATCATTACTGAACTAGCGTATTGACCTGGTTATAAGATAACTGACAGTCACTATACTGAGTGTTTTGCAAATCATACTAGTAGTATACAAACAAGGTACATTAAACCTGATTTCATGTGTTTCTTAAACATTAAATATTAAAATCATATTTAAAAGTGGCAGATAGATATTGGATGAGTATAAATTGCAAAGAGAAATATTTCATAGGTTAATTTCTTGCAGAACAATAAACAATACAGTTCAAATAAAAAACTATAACAGTAAAACATCATCACGGTGAAAAAGATAGGTTAAATTGAATTGACATTTGAAAATAAACAATCGTACATCCACGGTTAATATCACTTTGTTCAAGCGATTACCACTTGTGACGTCAGTATACTAACCGCTATAAATACAGGAGATAGATAACATAACCAAGAAATTTTGTGGTAAATACCAAGTAAATATGGTAGTTCGCTTGAAATTCCTTTTTGTTTTTCATTTTTCTCTACGTATCATTGAAAATATTAAAAAAAAATTAACTCAAAATTCGAGAGAATTGTAGTCATACATTCAGGGTAAATACGAAACTTCTAGAATACTGGGAGAAATAGTATGTCAAGAAACTAACTTTGACAAACTACAAACTATTGTAAATAATGCTTTCAAAGATTTTTTACTTTCCTATCTGTATACAGATATAAGGAAAGTATACATCTGGGGGTACTTTATGGGTGGTCATTTTTATATTTTATAGAATATATCTGTTATTTACGTTTGGAGAAGAAAATTCCTTAAATAAAAGTTACTTCTAATATAATTATCTATAATTTTTGTTCCTAAAATAGTCCGTATTCGAGAAATTTGAAAAAATGTAAAAAAAAAATTTTATAAAAATTGTTCAAATAAAAGTTGTTTGTAATATAATTCTCTATAATTTTTATTTTATACATAATTTCTCTAAAATGGACCTTATTCGAGATATTTGAGAAAATGTGTAAATTTCGAATTTTGAAGAAAACTCAAAAACGGATAAAGAAAAAAACATTAAATTTTAAACTTAAGGTTTATTTCGGGCTGACGTGAAATGATTAGATTTTGGATAAAGTCGGAACATCTGGGTGGACTTTATGGAAGGCCGTTTTTATATTTTATGGAATATATCTGTTATTTATGTTTGGAGAAGAAAATTGTTCAAATAAAAGTTACTTCTAATATTATTATCTATAATTTTTGCTTTTTGTCAAAATTTCCTGAAATGGTCCGTATTCGAGAAATTTGACAAAATGTGCAAAATTCTGATTTTTATGAAAATTGTTGAACTAAAAGTTGTTTGCGATATCGATCTCTATAATTTTTGTTTATACATGATTTTTCTAAAATGGACCGTAATGGAAAAGTGCTAAATTTAAATTTTTCAGTATTTTCGTTTTCAATAAATATCTATAGAAAAATGTTTCGAGGTAGATGTATGTGGCCAATGTATATATTTAGTTTATCCTCTAAACATTTATAGAGATGCTGCCATAGGTTGTACAAAATAACCGGGAAAAGCCTATAATAACTAGATAGGAAAGTCATGTGTTGGACACATCAGATTTTTAAAAGTATGTATCAACCTCTGACTCAACAATGAATACTGATGTTCTGCTAATTCACGGAAAGTGTCTTGATTTGTATGTAATTGCTGTCAGTAAAAAATTAAGTGATAAAATGACATCTAATCCGATTGTATTCCATCTTTATTTGTCAACGACTGTACTGGGACATAAGATAGTCCGGTTAGCCACCCACCATAATTTTTCTTTAGCAAAAAAGATTATCCTGCTCAATAGAAAAAGTAAAAAGTTTATCCTGTTTTCCCATACTCCACGCATTATTTCAGAAATATTTCAAACGTTTCAAACACGTAACATTTCAAGCACAAGTTTCTTAGATATTTTAGTTCAATATTTTATTTCTGAAATATTACTGTAAAATATTACATTTACAGGACATTTTTACAGTTTAGAAACATTCTAGAAATATTTCTGGGACGTTTCGTAATATTTTAACATTACAAATATTTCAGTGTTATATGTTTTAAATATTTTTGAAATGTTTTTGTGCTGCATGGTGAAGAGTTAAATATCGACAACTACAGACGCATTTCTCTTGTATGTAATCTGTCAAAGGTCTTTGAATTAATTCTGTACGAGAGAATATTATAATCCTAGTATTCAAAACCAATTACCAATCGCAAGTTCAACAGGGATTTATTTCTAATCGCTACCCCGATCGTAGGCAATTAAAACCTGGATTTATCTGAAACTTTAGATGTAATATACACAAAGGCCTTTAAGAGAACTCATCAAGTAATTTTTCATTTCTAAGTCAAAATTATTTACATTTTCCGATGATACTTTAGAATAGAAAGCAATTTATTCCATGTAATGGTTATAATTCTAAAAAAAAAATATTTGAATATATTATTATTTTGGCGTTTTGGTATTTTCTTATCGTTATTTATTTTACATTTTTATTTACTTTGTGTATTTAATCTATATTTATATATGTAATTTATTTTTTCTTATGTCTGATATGAATTCATATTGTTTGTTAATTTTATAACTATTTCCCTATAAATGTGTTACTGTAAGCTATTATTAATATTATATTATAATTTACCAAGGATTTTTTGCTATATTTTCTTACTGTTATTTATCATTAATAATATATTCTTTTTCAACAATAACATAGTAGCTTGCTTGATACAAGTCAAATTTATTAAATTTTTTATTGCTTAAACTTGATCTGTTTCTTTTAGATTTGGAAAAACTTATGGAAATGATTCAAGAGACGCGAAGAGATGGTTACGGGGAGATTTTTCATCTTAAATATGGGTGTATTACATGAAATTAAAACAAAATATGGGTCGTCTTCCTGGAAAATCAAATTATTGGTTTTGCTAAAAATAGTATTTTATTAACAAAATTATTATAAGATATCCAGATCTAGTATTTCTAAATGACAAGAGTAAATATTTTATGTGTAAATAAAAATGTGAATTTTAATCACAGGTTCTTCAATATTTCGGCTGCTTCTTCTAAAGTTGATTGTTTCTGAAAAAGAAAAATAGACTTGTTTTAAAACGGCTTCAATTAATTAAATCTCAGGTTTTATATATTATAGATTTTTACAGGATAAAAAGGGGTCAGGTTTGTATTAATATTTCATATAGTATACACTGTGTGTCAAAAAGTTTGCATTATATGAAAAACTTTCTTATTATTGATTTTTGAGAATAAGTTATTCTTTAAAAAAGTTGGAGCTTCACTTAAAACATGATAAAACATCAAAACAAATACCACATATAAGAGAAGTAAAAAATATAAATTTGGTTCAAAAGTACCAGTATTTTAAAAAATATAAAAAAACGATTTGAAAAATATTGTTTAAAAATCTGTGGATTAATAATTATTCGCATTCGTAAAGAATCAATTTAACTCAAAATTTATTAAAAAATACTAAGGAAAACAATTCACATAACCTTCTGTATGCCAACCAAATGTCATTCAATTTTTTTACAGGTTTGAGGTTGAGAAAACAAATCGTAAACAAAAATGAGCCGTAGAAAAAATATAATGTTCAACTCACAAGGTTTGATTGGCAGCATTTGCCTGCGCACATGCTTTTTTTATTACTCGTTGACAATGAGTACCATTTCTTGCTTGATTAACAATAGTCTATTTCAACATTTTACTGTAGTCTCTTGCAGAAAAGTCCATAGTAAATAAATGCTAACGAAATATTCCATAAAAGGTCTTTTCTTTGCATAAAATGTCGTAGCATCTGTTTGATATTAAAAAATCACGATAATTTTATTTCATAGTACAAAATTCCATTAAACATCTTGTAAGTAAATCTAATAGTTCGTTATGATGCTAATAAACAAAGGCCATCCCTGTCACAGAGTTAACCTTTCTTTAGAAATTGACATTTGCGCAGGTTAAACACCGGTGTATATCTCTGGGGACCTATTTTCAAACCGTGTGAGTACTCATTTCTCTCAAGATTCTCATCAGAAATGTCATACGTCAATGTGGAAACGCTGTTTTTAAAGGCCTCGAGGATTAAAATTCTTAGGAGGATATTAATTATCTCTAAATAAACCGTGAGAAACAATCAGTGAGTTCATACTGGCCCTTAGGACCCTAAAAATACTGTTTTACGTTGACGTATGACATTTCTCTCGAGAGAAATGAATTCTCTCGACTTTGAAAATAGCACCCCTGGTATCTTTTATCTAAGGTTAGGAGAAATATTTTATCGAAAAGGTGCAAGAAATCTCCAGTGAATAATAATTCCTGCACATTTACCCTCTTTTTTATCGAGATGAGGACCTATCGCAATTTTTGTGATAATTGCCGCACCCACATTTTAAAAATTCACCTATATAAAAGTAATCTTAATTATCTGCATTTCCAAAAATCAGCAGGAAATTTAAATTTTACTCAATCCGGCAACGTAGCTAGAATCACGCAAAAGTTTTCAGCCAAACTCGGTTTTTATCTCAGCCTGCTAAGATATCACGCTGCAAATTACAACCAATCCGAAACTCCGTTGTAGCGTCTAGTTTTTGTTTGTTTACAAATTTTATATATTATCAAACAAAAAGCGATTAATGATGAGTGCCAGTAGTGTTAGTGAAATATCTTAAAGGATATAATAAATGGTAAGTATATTTATGCAATTCAATATAAGGTGAATGAATTTTATCAATAATAGATAATATCTGGGGATGTGCCGTGATACTTCTATATACCTACATACTTAGGTAAATTTGTTATACCTACAAAATCAGGCAATCAATGATTTAACTATAATAACTAACTTCAAACTACGGTTTATTTTGGAGAAAGTCTAGATAGATATTAGTATGTAAATTTTAAAAACTTTAAATGCATTTATCATTTTATGTTTAGGCAAGTTTATGTCTAGAACCTAGGTACCTACTTATCTACAGCAGCTATAGGTACATTTTAGCAGTTTCCTTAGTTAAAAGCAAACATTTTTAAGGTCAAGTGAAAGTTTTGTTTTCCAAAATAACCGTAAGAAAAAATATTGACTAGACAAAATACTACTCTATAATCTTTATATAATACCTAAATATCTTCTCTTTTTGATGACTTTTTTTATTAAAACTTTTGACTAGGATAAATTATTAGATATTTTCTTCTTTTTCAGCTTGACTTTCGGTTTAACAGTGGCGTGTAAAGGTAGGAGAATGAATGTGTTAAAATAAATAAGCAGTAATAGCAAATTTTAAATATTTAATAAGTAATCAATGTTATATGTATAAAAACTATGTGTAGGCACAGGAATATTATTTTTTCTCATTATATACGAGGGAGAGGCGCAAATATATATGGGTACTTTTGGTCAAGGAATAAAAATAGGCATTCTAGGTACATTGTAAGATCTATTTAAAAAACGTTTTTTTGCAGAGATAATTTAAAAAAGTGAGGTTTATTGTCTAGCAATTAAAAATATGCATATAATCTTTTCAGATTCTGGTAAATTAATCTAATTATAAATAAATATAGAGTTACTTTATTCTTCAGCTAAAATCATGTTTTTGGGTTTTAATCGATTTAACAAATGTTGGTAAAACTCTAGGTTGGTTTTTATTTTTTTTATTCTATGTAAAAAATAATTTTATATCCAAAAATTTTTATTAAATGAAAAAGTGCCTTCGTTAATTCGTAAAATTCAAAAAAATTGAAAATATTTTTTAAAAGTTCAATCATTGAAAGGAAACTTTTAAATTTTAGCTAGTTCTCTGAGTGTTTTGCATTATTGATGTTATTATAAAAGCTCGATGTTTTTATATTTACATCAACGATTTTGTTTGGGATCATTTCCTTTCTCTCTGACAATAAAGATATTTGATTCACGCTATTTACGTCTTTTGAAATCATTTATTAAGAGTTCCATCTTTTAGAATTTAATTCTAAGATGTGTTAGCTCTATAATAATTAATTTCTGACGTAAATTCTTGGATTAAATAGACAAGGCTGCAGCAATACTGGCCGGTGATAACTCATATAATTAATAAACTTAAATACTTAAATCAATCACAGATATAAACTTAAAATTCTTGTTTTTTCTTCTGTAATATGACACTAAAGTGTTTGATTTTGGAATGTTAATAAATTGTAAAAGTATCTAGGGGCTGTTATTAGAGGTAGGGAATGATAGAATGATTGCTGATGTTGGAATGAACTGACGTCGCCGGGAACAGAAGATTTCCTGAGTGTAAAAAATGTCTAGGTATGGATCGAATATTGCCGTTAGTGGGATGAAAAGAAAGCAGCATGGTTTTTATATAAGGTGAGTCTTTTTTTCAATCTATAATATATAAAATTGTTTGTGCTGACTGACAGACCTATCAGCGTACAGCCAAAACCACTGAGCCTAGAAAGCTGAAATTTGGAACATAGATTTATTTTATAACGTTAACATCCGCTAAAAAAGTATTTTTGGAAATTTTAACTTTAAAGGGGGGAAATGGGGGGAGTGAGCTTTTAATGAAACTCTTTGTTCTTTAAAGTTAGAAACATGAAAATTTAAATTACAGCTACTAAGCATAAATAATTACTGACGTGTTTCAGGGTTTTTGGATTTTCCCATTTTAAGGGGGGAAAACAGGGGGTGAAAGTTTGTATGGGACTATTCGACTTTTTTTGTTCTCTTTGAAGTTAGAAACATGAAAATTGGAATTGCAGCTACTGACTACGTGTTTCAGGGTTTTTGGATTTTCACATTTTAAGGGGAAGAAATGGGGAGTGAACTTTATTTGAAAGTATTCATGTTTTTAATTCTTTTTAAAGTTAGAAACATGAAAATTGGAATTGCAGCTACTGAGTACAAATTAATAATGACGTGTTTCAGGGTTTCTGGATTTTCACATTATTAGGGGGGAACCAGGGATGAAAGTTCATTAGAAAGTATCGATTACAAACTTATTAGTTATCTTCTTTTTTTTAACTCAAGTATGTATAACAACTACAGATGGCGTTGAAAGATGAGTATAATTATTCACTGTTGACTGGCCCAACTTTCCCAATAAACACCGAACAGTCGGCATGGATACGGCCGACTGCCGGCACGTACGGGCAACCGCCACTTCGGGCAACCACTGTCGGGACCATTTCAAACCCGAACGGTATTTACCGCCTTTCGGGATTTTAGAGTACAGCCACGTATGGTTGCGCTACGGCTTCCCGAAGACGGGGTTCCGATTTCTAACCAGCTCTGGGTTGCGCTACGGCTTCCCGAAGATGGGGTTCCGATTTCTAACCAGCTCAGGGTCGCGCTACGGCTTCCCGAAGACGGGGTTCCGATTTCTAACCAGCTCAGGCTAGCCTGTCGTTAGCCCGTGTCGGATCTTTGCCGAATTGCCGAAGAATCTGTATCCGATTATTGATTATAAAAATGAAGAAGAAAAAAGAAGAAATGTACTTCTACCTCTAACCTCCAATCCTCATCACGTTTGTCAATTTATTGGCGGCATATATTTCGTTATTCGTTACAGTTTTGTTAATTGTAGGTGCACTCTGTCTTTATTCAGTTTTTGTTATAGTTGGTTTAATAGTTCAAATATGTTCCAGGATAAAAAGTAAGTACCTATTACGATTAATTATGTCCTTTAATCTTAAATTAAGCAAAAGGCATAAGAGACGCCTTTTATCCAAACAAGTAAAAAACTTGATTAGTGATTGTACCCCAGGGACATCTTACAATGAAAATCCCGATTTTAATCTACCTTCCACTAGCACTAACACCTGTATTGCTAGCAGTTCCATTTTATGAAAATACATTTTTTTATTTGTTCATTTTCATTGATGTAGATAGTAATTTATAAAATATTTTTAGCCACCGTAAGAAGAAACCCACCATGTGCAAAAAGTACAAACAACGAAATATTAAATTCAATCAAAAATTGGCTGAAGAATGCCCTAGATCGGGAAGGGGGAAGGGCAGCAAGGAAAAAAGGAAACGATGATAGAATTTGATTTTGAAGGCAATTTTTGAGATTTTGTTTTAGTTAATTACAGTAGTACCTGTTTATTGAAGTTGGTTGTATTTTTGATATTTTTGAAAAAATTTGTTTATTTTGTTAATTACAGTATAGTACTTGTTTATTGTACTTGTTTATTGTAGTTGGTTGTATTTTTGATGCTGCAATATTTTCTATGTGTATAGGAAAGTGCAAGATTTTGTCAAGGAAATAATTATGTATAATAATTAGAAATTTGTGTCCGATATTTTCATAAATCCGTAATTTTTTATGTAGAGTAAAATGAAAAATTGTCTTTAAATCTGCTGAATACTGCTTAGAAAGTTTGAAATAACTTTAAAAAAAATCTCGTTTTTTTTCTAATTTTATGGCACTGGAAAAGTAGAAGTTCCAATTGTTGTAGAAAATATGCTTTATTTCTTCTATTTTAAATTTGAATTGTTTTAATATTTACAAGGAAGTAATGGAGCACATGGCAACATCTTGTTTACTTGCAGCTGATTTAGTCATGATCGGTTTAAGGCATTTAAAAACAATTTCTCTTTTTACTCTGGGCCCTACATGAAAAATTAGGTTCAATCTCCTGCACTTTATGAAAATATCTGACACAATAAATTTTAATTGCTTATATTTTTTGTTTGGATTGTGACAAGGTTGACACATTTTCTTGCTTTTCCTGATTTTATTTTTCGTTTGATGCATTAATTCCGTTTAAAATAAGTTATGTGAAATTATTTTATTTTTTTCTATAAATAAGTTCGAAAAATAAAAGTTTAACTTTTATCACCATTTTGTGTTTGTATTTAATTTTTTAACTTAAAGAATAACTAGTTGTTTCTGTATACTTGCAATTAAATTCTGATTCACACAAAGTGGCTCCTTAAATGGCACTAACATTTGGATATTCAGTAGCTAAGTTATTGACCACCTGTAAGTTTATTATTTGAAAAATATATGTACCTTTTTGCATTAATACTTAACTGTGCTTGATACTGCATGTGTGATTTTTGTTTGAGCACAATTTAAAAATCTACTGTTGTTTAAACACTGAAACACGTTAATAAATTGATTCATGCAGTATTAAATGCAGTTGCTTGAAAATTAAAAAGTTTCTCACAACTTCTGTATTTAAAATAATTTTCTTACAATTTCTTAAAAATCATTTCATTTGGTATTTTTCAGTTGGACTCGTTTGGGATACCAATGTTAGTACCATTTAAGGAAGCCACCTTGTATTTGCGGTTCGGATGCTATCATACCGCATTTGCGCCGACACTCGGCATTGTTAACGGTGCCACCTATTTGCCGAGTATGGGTCAGACTAGGTAACAACGCACGGGCCGCGAGCCGCCCGGTAGCAAAATCGCCTCTTTTTGCCGCTATTTAGCCGACGTTCGGTGGGGCGGACATGCCCTACTAGTCAGCCGCGGCGGCTGCCATATTCGGCCCGAACGTGGTATTTCGGTTTTACGCTTTCGGGCCGTTATCGCGCCGGAAGTTTGTGTTTATTGGGTTTAAACCGGTGTGAACTTAGCGAACAATTTTTAGCAACTAATTTTAATTAATTAGTCGCTAAAAATTGTTCGCTAAGTTCACACCGGTATCTTTTAAAGGGTATGGTCTATGGCCATCCTGCATTCTTAATGCGTCCCGAACTATAACTCCTATACATTTTGTTCAAGCCCGTCTAACATCTTGTTCTAATGTAGCAAATTAAATGAAATATTGGAACGAATGTTAATATTCAACCTATACATATCAAAGAATAACATACCTTAACGAAGCAAAACCTGATGAGATTTTCATATGATTTTTTGTTGTTTTCGCTACAAAATATTGTTACGGGAAAAGTTTGCAATCGATGTTGTTTGGTTAACCATTTTACAAATTTTAAATCGATAAATTTTTCTTTTTCTGATGACAAATCTACGTGTGGTACTAAAAATAATTTTCTCATATTCATTATTATTTTTTACCATAAATTAAACGTATTTCTTACACATTTGCGTGATATCAGCGAGAATAAACATTCCTCCTTGCGGCAAAATTGGTTTCATCTCTATCTTTGATAATACTCCTACGAGATAATCTCGTTTTTCCCTCAAATCTTTTTCCGTTTCTTCAAAATAAGAAGTAGTTTGTCCTAACTTATCATATTCTTCTTCAAACATCTTCGCAAAAGCAATCTGTAATAATACAATAATTATTGTGATGAAGGGATTGATAAAAATATAACTACTCGTATATGCCTGCAACGATCCGACACAGCTTGCGAAGAGACTCAAGTAGCTTTAGTTGGAGATAATTAAAAATTGCAGGGCTCACATTATCGGGATTTAATAGTTATTGACTCGATAAAGAATAAATAAAAAGTTAAATAAGGTCAATATACTACATAACCTCAATTATAAGCCAAACATACAAAATTATTGCATATACTGTTTACGAAAGATAATTTCTTATTGGTCTTTAAAGCCCTGAATGAAAATAAACAAAAAGCAAGTTTTTTAATTAAACATAATAAAATAAAACAACGTTCTTTTCTATATTATATTGTAGTTGTTCTTGTTTATGATAAAGGGTTTTAAAAGAAAAATTCGTGATTGTTGATAAAAAAATGACATATCACAGTACACAAATATATTAATGTTAAAATGGTATTAATTAGTATTATATACATAGCCAACCTGGATTAAATATAGGTATTTTTTTATTAAAATGCATGGTTTAGAGTCGGAATATTTTTTGTTACAAATGATTCTTTATAAATTTAAAAAAGGCGACTTACTTGCAATGGAGTACTGGCATTAAATACTACATGTTGATGAAGAACTCTTAATGCTTGTAACAACAGTGGATGTCCATATGCCCAACCGATTTGCCAACCAGTTACCCCGAAAGATTTTTCAGCTGCTCCCAAAGTTACAGTTCTCTCGAACATGCCAGGCAATGATGCTGAAAATTTAAGAATCACAAATGGCATTTTTATAAGTAGAAGTAAAAGTAAAAAGAAATTGTTTGCTTTTTTATCAAAATACCAGAGGATTAAAAACAAAAACTAATCTGATATTTAATGCGACAGCTCAAAAGATGGTAGCGTTTTTATGATAACTGAAACGTGGCTTGACTCATTAGTCAATAATTCAGAATAATTTCGAGCTAATATTTGTATATACAGGGTCGATCGGATTTTTTGCAAAACTCTTTGACTAGAGGTTGCGGTGTAGTAATTGTAGTACATGATGATATTATTAATTTCTGAACAAATAAATTTAAATGAATATTCTTTTCCTAGATTTGTATATGTTGATATATTTCTATAATCAATGAGTTCTCTCAACTTTTTGATTTATCTCAGTCTAACATTATCTTTAATGATAATAATAATAGGCTATTAAATCTAGTCTTCTTTAATGATAAATGTCTAGTAGAAAAATCGCTTGATCTATTTGTAGTGAAAGATAAACATCATCCTGCTCTGGACATCACTTATAAGTGAAAACTAACCGTAAAAGCAACCTGGAATCGTCCTTCGAAAACTGTTATAATTTCAAAAAAGCCAATTTTACCCTAAAGTACAATTTAATTTTTAGTATTAACTGGACATTTTTAGAAGCCTTTAATAATGCAGAAAACGCTTATACTTTAATTGAAAATTATATAATATTCTTGATAAATGTTTTCCCAAATATTCCTGCAATTACCAAAACAAATATCCAGCATAATAGAGAAATAATCAATCAGTTATGCGTCAAAACTAATATGTGGAAAAAATACAAACGAGAAAATGATTTAGAGGTCTTTGAGCATATATTACAAAGACTGAACAAGAGATATCTAGTAATCCAAGTAAATTTTGGGCATTTATAAATAGTAAGAAATCACAATTCAAATCCCCTCAAAAAATGTCTTATGACAACAAATCACAAAAAACTCCATTAGATATTCTCAATAGATTTACTGACTTCTTCAGACAGTCATGTATTACCTCTAACCCGTTTATTGCTAATTCAAACTCACGACTCAATGTTTCTTTCCTTAATTTCAATAGTTTTACCGAAAAAGAGGTATATGAAGCTCTAAAGTCTATTAAACCTAAAAAGACAACTGGTCCAGACCATATTCCAGCTTTTATTTTAAAGGATTGTGCCTTTCAACTTGCCCCTCCATTAACCACCCTTATAAATATATGCCTCAAGATATCAACAGTTCCAGATATTTGGAAGACCTCAAAAGTATGTCCAGTTTTTAAAAAGGGGGATAAAAGAGATATTTCTCCAAAATATTTGAAATTTTATTGAAGAAGACCTTCTATCATTGTTGGTAAAATGCTATCAGTCAATCAACATGGGTTTATGAAAGGTCGCTCAACAGTCACCAACCTGTTTACCTCTATGGTTTAGAAATTTTTTATCTGAATCTGTATAAGCTGGTTTGGTTCTAGTTATGGCTAGTGCAACTTCAACGCTATTTTTATCAATGTAAATAGTTTTCTCTGTGCGTTTTATTACTCTGAACGGGCCTTCATATGGTGGTTGCAAACTCTTTTCGAGATCTTCATCATTAACAAAAACAAAATCACAAGTTTTTAGGTCTTTTGCCACAAAAGGTTTAAATTTATTTTGAATTCTAGTTTGTCAAGGTTTGCCTTAATTTAACAAGAATTTCATTACCTTCCACCGAATCACAATGAGACTTAACTAACATTTCTCCAGGTATTCGAAGTGTTTGACCGTAAACCATCTCAGCTAAAGAACATTTAAGAATCTCCTTAAGACTAGTTTTAAAGCCTTATAATAGTATAGGTAATTCATCCACCCACTGAATGGTATTTTGTCTTGTCATTAAAGCAGCTTTAAGTTGCCTGTGGAATCTCTCCACCAGACCGTAAACCATCTCAGCTGAAGAACATTTAAGTTCTAAATACTAATAAAAGTATAGGTAATTCGTCGTGTATGTGCTCTTTTATTCCTGCTCTATAATTGGGATTGTCTGTAGAGCTTTGTAATAAATAAATAAAAATAAAATAAAGTTCAATAGGGTCAATCTCACAATAGTCCTGCAATTTTATTGCAAAAATAAAATTGAGCTATAAAGAGCTTGTTTATTGCTACCGAATATAACACATCGTTCAATAGCCCCTGTATTACCAAATCCAAGTGAACAGTTCTTTTAAAAAGGTACCTAGTGAAGATTTTTCTTGATGTGCTGGCAGTAAATCTGAATATTTAATGTAGACGTTGACTATTCAAAGTCACATGTTACTAAACACATTTATCACATCACAGATCTTTCACATTAACATATCACAATAATAGTGGGTGTTAACTACATTCACGTTTGTGATTTGCCTAGAAAAATATTGCCAGCGAGTAAATTATATGAGAAGTGTATAATTACAAGCTGTGCAGCAATCTGATCTGTCAAAAAACAGTTTTTTCTTATATGCTCTTGTGTCCCACTTATTGTTTTTCGAAAATAATCAGTTTCAAACTGTCGCGTATGTTTTTTAATTGCTAAAAATGATTGTAACAGTCTTTTTTTTTAATTTTTTCTTGTTTGTAGGCGCGAGAGAGTGCGATGTTGATATTTAAACGTTACGAATGGCGATTATCTGATCTCTTTTAACTGGAATTTGTTATACAGGGTTAGCCTTACGAATCAGTGCAATATGTTGGATATATTTTCAACAAATGGTATGAATTTATTTAGAATTTAGATTACGTTTACGTTATAAATAATGATTTTGCTTTAACTATGTTTTTAATATTACACGTTTCTACGTTTATCGCTCATAAATTTCATCATGTGTTGCAAGAAATTTCTTACCTATCCTAATATGGGTTTTCGGTTTAAATACCATCCGTTCGTACACTTCATCTGCAATGCAAATAACATTCCATTTTTTGCAGAGATCAGCAATAAAAGTCAATTCGTCCATATCGAAAACTTTGCCTGTGGGATTGTGGGGCGTGTTCATTATAATTGCTTTCGTTTTCACGGTAAATATTTGTTCGATTTTTTTCCTATCCAATTTCCATTCGGCGAAACTCTGCGAATCCTTGAAATTTTCTTCCTATTGAAAATAAAGACTAAACAAAAAAGTTAAGTTTTGCGTTTTGAAGAAAAATTATCTGTTATGAAGAGAATAACTGTTAAACGTTACGGTGGTTGCAAATGCCGAAACTGATAGTTTTATTATTTCCTTTATTTAGCTAGTTTGCTAATATCACAATATACAAATTTAGTAAAAATATACATATACATATAAGTCAAAACATAGATAATTTAAATACAATTAAAACTAACTAAAATTCTATAGGTTGTTACTACTAATTCAGCTACATTTTCCATTACTTCTCAAAATTCCCTCCTGGTTTAATAACAGATTGAATGTTGAAACTTTTGAATCCAGGAGACCGTCTCATATATTTATTTAGGTTAATAGCAGCTTCGTCGCCTAATATTAATATATTTTTCGAAGAAGTACTTTGCACTTCTCGTTTATTTAATACATTTTCCTGGCTCTAAGTCAAACACACTTGTGTTCTTTTGGTTTTTTCGATAACAAAGTGTCGATTTCAGATCTATCAACTCGTTTTCGTAGGTTTCTTTATCCTTTTCTAGGGTTTCAATTGAAATTAACAATTTCTTTTGGATGTCCGTTGGTTCCTCTTTAGTTTTCTCCATTACAAGCAAATGTTCCTGACTCAGTTCCAGTTCTGCTCTAATATGTATATTTTTTTCTGTTAAAATTTTAATTTCATTCTTTAGATTAGTTATTAGCATCTGTTGTTTGTCCCTATCTGAAGCAATTTTTCTGTCACTTTCAAAAAAGTTCATCTCCAAATTTTCATAAGATTTTTTTAAGTTGCCTATTTCTATATTTTTATTTCCAAACAGTTCATTTAGCTCTTTCGATAACTCTTTAGGATCATTTTCAACTCCGGCACAGCTATCATCTTTTTCAGCATACTCGATAGAACAGATCTCCCTATACCCCTTCAAAATTTTAACATTTTTCATCCTCTCGAGACAACTCGGGTGAAAAATATTTATACATCTGATACATATACACCGTGTCCCACGTAAGGCGGTTATACCGGAAGTGACCACTAACTTCGTTATTTTAAAGGGAATACCCCATATTTTTTTTTTAATTTTAGATTCAGCATGAAATTCTGTAAACAACGATACCCCATTTGCCTATTCTAGTTATAGCGGATTTGGCGTTATTCAATTTTTTTCTACATTTTTAGTCGCCGGTAGACATTTTCTTAAAGTCGTCTATCTCAGGTACTATATCTATCAGATACTTAAAATTTTAACCAGAGGTAGTAGATGGGATGTACTTCTTGAGAATATTTAGTTATTCATTATTTGTTGTACGGGGTGTTTGCAAATTATTTTTAAAAATGAAATTTTTTAAACATAAAAAACTTTTTTATTTTAAAGGGAACACCCTATATATTTTTTAAATTTAGGATTCAGCATAAAATTCTGTAAACAATGATACCATATTTGCCTATTCTAATTATAGCGGATTTGGCGTTATTCATTTTTTTTTAATTTTTAGTCGTCGCGCCGGTAGGCATTTTCTTAAAGTCGACTGTCTCAGGTACTATTTCTGTTGGATACTTAAAATTTTAACCAGAGGTAGTAGATGGGATGTACTTCTTGAGAATATTTAGTTATTCATTATTTGTTGTACGGGGTGTTTGCAAATTATTTTTAAAAATGAAATTTTTTAAACATAAAAAACTTTTTTATTTTAAATTGAACACTCTATATATTTTTTAAATTTTAGATTCAGCATGAAATTCTGTAAACAATGATACCCCATTCGCCTATTCTAATTATAGTGTATTTGGCGTTATTCAGTTTTTTATAAACTTTTATATGCTGGCAGATATTTGCTTTTTTAAATTTACTTGTACATCGTTTGTTCGACTGTGTGTTTGGAAATTATTTTAAAAAATAAATATTTTAAACATGAAAAATTTTTTTATTTTAAATGGAAAATCCTGTATATTTTTATTTCATTTTGTTCAGAAAATTATTCTTTATTGATCTTCATTTGCACTATTAATTCCCTATAATTATCTCTCGCCAATTTTAAGAAAATTTAAATTTAAATTTTACGCATGCACCTACATAATATAGTATAGTTTCACATTTTAATTTTTTATCTTAGTATGCCGTGGAAATATGCTAAACAACAATCTGTCAACAAACTGAATTGTCATATTTCTATGTATTTAAGTTGTGTATTTTTTGCGTTCAAAATATGGAAAATATTGAAGAATATACCAACCAAGATATTCTTAATTTATTTTACATTCATGGAGAATGTAATCGAATCAAAAGTAGAACCTGTCGCATGTTTAATGAACGATACCCTCATTTACCACCAATGAACAGACAGAAATTTGATAGAATCGAAGCTAACTTTTTGAATAATTTTAAACAAAACCCGGGAAGAAACCGTCAACATTATGTCCGAGATGAAGAAGTTAATCTAATTAACGTATTAGGGTATTTTACTGCGTATCCTCACGCCTCCATTAGAATGGCTCAAGATAATTTAAATATTAGTCGAGGGTCAATACAACGAATTTTAGCACTAAATAAATGGCATCCCTATGCACAAAGAAAAGTTCATGAGTTGCGAGATGGTGATCAAATAAGACGAACTGAATTATGCGAATGGTTATTGGTACGAATTCAAGAAGATCCCAAGATTTTAAATAAAATTTTGTGGTCAGACGAGTCGAAATTTACACGTAAAGGGATCATCAATCGCAAGCAATGTCATTTCTGGGCAAACGAAAATCCACATTTTTATCGTGAAGCACAATTTCAGTACGAATTTAGTTTTAATGTGTTTGCAGTGATCGGTTTTGGAAGAGCTTTTTATTACATTTATAATGAAAGACTGACCTCAGAAAGATACATTAGAATTCTTAGAGAAGTAGTTGCCGACATTTTAAACCAGCTACCAAATAATAATTTTTGGTACCAGTTGGATGGTGCCCCAGCACATTCAACATACTATGTAAATCAAGAAATTACAGCACTCTTTGAAGACCGATGGATAGGTCCAAATGGTCCTTGGCTTTGGCCTGCAAGATCGCCAGATCTAACTCCTGTTGATTTTTTTTATGGGGTCATATTAAAAATTTAGTGTACTCTACCCAAATTAATACTAAAGAAGAATTAGAGCAAAGAGTTCGGAATGCCTTTAACGAGTTAGATGGTGAAATGATTCGTAAAGCAACAACTAATCATGTTGAAAAAAGATTGTTAAAATGTTTAGAAGCTAACGGGGGGCATTTTGAACATTTGATAAAATGATTTTTTTAAACCATGTGCTTTTAATAAAAATTGTTTTTAGTTAGTATGTACCTTATCATTAAAAAAAATTAAACTTTTTAAAGGACATATTTTGTTGCAGAAAACTGTAAATGTTTTTAAAAGTACATCCCATCTACTACTTCTGGCTAAAATTTCAAGTATCCAACAGAAATAGTACCTGAGACAGTCGACTTTAAGAAAATGCCTACCGGCGCGACGACTAAAAATTAAAAAAAAATGAATAACGCCAAATCCGCTATAATTAGAATAGGCAAATATGGTATCATTGTTTACAGAATTTCATGCTGAATCCTAAATTTAAAAAGTATATAGGGTGTTCCCTTTAAAATAAAAAAGTTTTTTATGTTTAAAAAATTTCATTTTTAAAAATAATTTGCAAACACCCCGTACAACAAATAATGAATAACTAAATATTCTCAAGAAGTACATCCCATGTACTATCTCTGGTTAGAATTTTAAGTATCTGATAGATATAGTACCTGAGATAGACGACTTTAAGAAAATGTCTACCGGCGACTAAAAATGTAGAAAAAAATTGAATAACGCCAAATCCGCTATAACTAGAATAGGCAAATGGGGTATCGTTGTTTACAGAACTTCATGCTGAATCTAAAATTAAAAAAAAATATGGGGTATTCCCTTTAAAATAACGAAGTTAGTGGTCACTTCCGGTATAACCGGAGGTTGCACAGAGTTCATTTTATTTTAATTCAAAAGAGCATATTCGAAAATGGCGAAAATACAAATTAATTTATTCTCCATAAAGTTGTAATGCCCGCCTTACGTGGGACACGGTGTATAATTTCCAAATATTTTGTTCTGACAGCACTTAAAAGATTTGCCCATTTTCTATATTTATCTATCCTGCTGAGTAAAATGACGTTAGAATGGAGTAGTAGCCACTTTCATTTAGATTTAAAATTGTCCTTATCACAAAAAGTTTTTGTCACTGCTTAATCGTAAAAATAACAAAAAAAGCAATAAAAAAACTTGGTTTAATTACTTTTATAAATTAAAATGCAGTTTCACTTAGTAACGAAGAAATTTTACACTGGATATCACTCACAATGATCAGATAATAAATTGAGTTTTAATTTGATATGAAAAACAACTTAAAAGCCCGCGGTTTTCCGAAAACCAGGATTTCTTTACCTAATGTTAGAAACTACATAAGAACATGGCAATTACCCATGAGGACTATGTTAGTTAATAGATTAGTGACAGATGATAACACCAGCGCGTGACTTTTAGGGACTTCTTTTCCTCTAGAATGGACCTTGGAATCTCTTATAAAAATTCACATAAGAAAACGGACGATTTTGGATTTGAACTCTCAAAGCCTATTACTGGTTAAAACTAGTACTTAAAAATACTTTTTACAGATTTTGACTTACACCAAGATCTTACATAGATTATCTCAGAATACACCCTTATTATTTTAAATTTTTGTTATAAATTGAAAATCATAGAAACTATTTTTTTGTCTGAAATATGATGCGTCCACATTTAAATAAATATCTCTTATTTAATATGTTAAACTTACAAGTTCCAGACTAACATACTTAGGTACACCACCAGCCATTTTGATTAAAGAAACAAATACCATGAAACACGGTTCAATTACTATTACTTCGTCGCCAGGTGCAATAAGACCCATGACTGCACAAAATAAAGCTTCACTGGATCCAGCGGTAACCAACATTTCTTGTTCTGGATCGACGTTTATGTTTAAATGATGAGAGAACATTTTTGATAAGGCATTTCTGAGCCTTGGATGACCCTGAAATAAAAAACTTAACATTAATCGATTCAATAGTTTCATAAAAACTTTGTATATAAATTATATAATTCTGAGATTGACCCTTTTTGAATTAAGTCACAAAAAAATTAATCAAAAAAAAAAAACATCAATGGTACAATTAGAACCCCGGGTCCTTGGATTCCTCTAACCACTGAGCTACCCAAGTACCCAGCCTCCTTTATTTAGTAATATTAAAATGTGTATATTATAAAGTTTTACCTGCGGATTAGTATATTGGTGATCATCAACGCATTCAGACGATAATACTTCAGATAAAGCTTCAGTTATAAACTTTGCCGGTAAATAGTCGGGATAGCCTAATCCCAAATCAACGGGATTGTATTGTTTTGCAAGTTCTTCATATTCTTTGCTAAAACAAAATTGATTCAGTAGTGTTCAAAATTAAAATATTAATCCACTCAAAAAATTCACATTAAAATAATATAATAATAATAATAATATAATAATAATAATAATAATTTGTTTATTTGTAAAAATGTACACACAATAATCAAGAAAAAATACATATAAAATACAAACAAACAGTAAATGTCCACAAAGTCAGAGACTGTCCGTGGTTAAGATACTATGAAGTATAATTTTATAATTAAATTATCGAGATTAATGTTATTAAAAAATACAATAATAATAACAATCATAATGACAGCAACAATATTTAATAATAATATTGATGATAATAACAATAATAAAATAATAATAATAATAATAATAATAATAATATTAATAATAATAATAATAATAATAATAATAAATAATAATAATAATAATAATAATAATAATAATAATAATAATAATAATAATAATAATAATAATAATAATAACCTAAAAAATTATATTTAATAATAATAATATTGATGATAATAATGAATAATAAAAATTATTTTTATTGTTATTACAAAAAAATATACTTTAGAAAAAAATTAATTTTTTATTTGTAGGTACCTACTTTATAGTTGACTTTTAGTTACTGGTTAATACGTTAATTCGATTATTTTTATTCTATTCATGGAGAGTATATGTTTTTTTAGTCTTGTCTTAAACTGAGATATCGACAGAGAATTTTTAATTTTTATGGGTAGTGAATTTAAAACCTTGGGTGCTAAAAACAAATGGCTTTTTTGTCCTACTGTTTTACGGGCTGCTGATTCTTCTAATTTATTCATTGCCTTGGATCTTGTTTCATATTTATGTGTTACATTTTTAAGAAGACTCTGATTTTTAAAATAATAGTTTGCTAATTTAAAGAAAAAGTTTTGTTTAGGATCAAGTATTTCTGCTTCTTTATATAATTGGTCAGATGGGTAAGTGCGTTCTTTTTTTAATATAATTTTTAAAAAATATTTTTGTATTACTTCGACTTTGTCCATATACACATTTGAGGCTCCACCCCATCCTAATATTCCATACGTTATTCTAGAATGAACTAAAGCGTAGTACAACATTTTTAGGTAAGGTAATTCTAGTATTTTGGAAAGATATTTAAACTTAAATAATAGGGTTCTTAGTATATTTACAATGTTATTTATATTATGATTCCAACGCAAATGACTATCAATAATTATTCCTAAATATTTCGTTTTATTTGATGAACTTATAGTTAAAGGCACCTGATTATTGCTGATGATTACTAAGTTGTTATATTCCGGTAGATTATTTTCATAGCTAACTATTGGTAAAAAGAATGTTTTAGAGAAATTAATTGTTAAGAGTTTATGATTAAACCAGTCGAATATGTATTTTAAATCATTTTCAACAATTACTTTTAATTCTTCCCAACTATCAGCAGAATAGAAAATAACCGTGTCATCAGCAAAACTAATTATCCGACCCTGATGATTTATTAATAGCAAGTTATTGATATATAAATTAAATAAAATAGGACCAAGTACTGTACCTTGTGGTACACCGCATTTTATTTGTTGGTAAGTGCTATTCGTATTATCTATTCTTACACTTTGTTGTCTATTAAACAAATAACTTTTAAACAAACCCAGGCAGCACACTTTGGTATAAATTACGTATTTTTTTAGGTACTACCATACGTATGAATACGGTTGATGTACTACCAAATATATTCGTGAAAATGTCCGCCGGATAAACGTCGATTACTAAGAATTTATCCACCTATAATTAAACGTTTTTACTATACGTCTATATTAGATTTATAGTTGTAGTATATTTATACGAATTCACTTTGGTATAAAATACGTTTATTTATGTACTACAATATACGTATGGATACTGTTGATATGCTACCCAATATATATGTGAAAATGTCCGCCCTATAAACGTATATTTTTTTTATTTTTTATACGTCTAACATTACTACTTTATCTACCTTTAATTATCCTGTTTTACTATACGTCTATATTAGATATATTTGTATGATTTTTATTAATGTGTAAAATGCGTCTACCTGATATTGTTTTAAATGTATTTCAAACACAAATTAAATAAAGTTATCAAAACAAAATTTCTAAAAGAGGCCATGGAAAAATGTTAATATTTCTTAAATGATAGTTTGGATTTTGTCCATAGCAGGTGTGTATACACTAGAAATAGGCATTACTCGTGTTTCTATTTTGGTTATAATTGGCCTAAATATTTAGAAATTTTTTTTGATCACTTGTTATATGTACAGAACAATATTTAATTAACAAAAACAATAAAATACTAAAAAATAAATAAATAAATACAAAAAAATAAACACTAAAATACTAAATAACAAACTAAACGAAACTTTTCTTTAACTAACAAAAAATATATATAAAAATAAAAATCTTAGCTTAACACTTTGGATGTGTTGTGTCCTAGACGGGCCTTAGCTAACTTAAGCTAATCTTGCATGGCACACCTAATCGTTTGGTCGGTTAAGTCGCTTGGTTCACCACCATTCCTATAACCAAAATGTAATTCAATTTCAGGTGAAATATTTTCTAAAAGCTCCGAAGTTAAATTTGTATTATTTTCTTGGAAATTATTATAAATAATAGAATCAGATGATATATTAATGTCCGAAGCTTTATTAATGTTATCTTCATTGGGAATAAAAAAAAAATGATTTGACTTTAAAGCATCTTGAACATTTTGCGCTATTTTTCTACGTAGATGATGCAGAGACAGGGTTATTTTAGACATTTTATTAAATAAAAATCAATTGACCAAAAAAAAAAGGAAAATAAGTATGCTTGGAATAACTAGGTAACCTAAAAAATACGTATAAAAATAAAAGAAACAAAAGTAAGGTTATGTTTTGAAGTTTCTATAAGTATTTAACACACTGTACGTACATATAAAACAGTAGTTGTTTTAAAATGCAACAATTATTAAAGAAGTAGCTAAATTAAAACATTAATAGAAACTTACCTATGCTTTTAATCAATATCGTAAAAGCCAGGACGCCAAAGCAACAAAACGTGTACACAAATGAAAATGGACGAACCGATGAACCTGCTCCCACAAACCATTCCCTACACTGAACAATAATACTACACATATGCATGAGTAGAAATGAGAAAAGACCGTACCACTAGTACGTCATCCTCCATCCGCCATCTAAAAATAGTTCCATGTGTGTGGGGAATTTGTTATAAATATAACAGGTAATATAATTAAAAAAATATGGATGTAATGTAAATAAATATATCTATAAGCTTTTAATTTAAATAAACCTAAATATATACATATTATTTACTTCTGTCTACTAGTTTATCGTAAACTGGTATTATGCGTTTAAGGTGACTTATATTTAAACGTAGAATAATATAGGTATATTATTCTATAAACAGTATCGACAAACAGATGCGTTTAATTTATCTATTAAAAAACGTTAAGTATAAAAATGGTAGATGGTAAACGTTTAAAAAATCAACCAAGATGAAATTTAAACGGGAATTATAAACGAAGAAAACAAATTGTAATATACTGTAAATTTATACGAATTTAATTTAAATAAACCTAAACGTATATTTAGGCCCATTGTATATAAATAGTTCATCGCAAACTAAAAATAGTCGTATATTGTTGACTATATTTAAACGTAGAAAAATTTACAATTATATACCATAGGATGTATATAAAAAACGTATAATATATCGTTTAAAACACAGTATGTATAATAATCGTAAACTGTAAACGTATACGGAATCAACCAATACCAAAATTAAACGAGTATTACGTATAAAATACGTTAGTTATACTAATGTGTGCTGCCTGGGAATTGTAAGCATTGCCTCTTATTCCTGCATCTTGCAGGGCTTGCAATAACTGTTGGTGATCAACAGTGTCGAAAGCCTTTGCAAGATCCAGAAACACTGCCAGAGATGGTTTACTTTTATCCAGAGCTAAATACATTTCTTTCGTAAGTTCGGCAATAGCATCCTCCGCAGATTTACTTTTTTGAAATCCAAATTGTTTCGATGATATTGTATTGTTTTTATCAAAAAATGATTCTAATCGTGACTTAATTATTTTTTCAAATATTTTTGTAAAGGTCGTAGTTATCGATATGGGTCTATAATTTGATGGTGTGCATTTGTCACCGTTTTTATGTAACGGTTTAATTGTTGCAATTTTAAACTGATTTGGACAAATGCCTTTTTCGATAGATAGGTTAATTAAGTAAGTTAGCGGGGATACTATTTCCGAATCAATTTGTTTAATTGTTTCTGCGGTTAGGTCGTCAATACCTGGTGCTTTTTTATTTTTTTAATTTTTTAATTATTTCTAATATTTCCTTTTCATTTGAAGGATTCAAGAATATTGAATTTGAACATACAAATCTCATTGGACGAAGCGTATTTGGCAAGATTATTTGACTAGCTAAATTAATTCCTACATTGGAAAAAAACGTATTAAATATTTCTGCTATTTCAGATTTATCACTGGTTTTTTCATTATTTTGATTATATAACGCTTTAAATTCTTGTTTTTTGGGGTTTTTGCCACATATTTTGTTTATAGTTTTCCATAAATTACTGGGATTATCTTTATTATCTTTTATCATTTTTTTGTGAAATTCTCTTTTTGATTTTTTAATTATTGTACCTAATTTATTTCTATAATTAATAAATGTTTGTTTTGATTGTTCATCTTTATTTTTTTGATAGGTTTTGTAGAGTTTATCTCTATGTAGGATTGAAGTTATTATTCCCGAAGTAATCCAATTTTTTTTCTTATTTGTTTTTTTGTTTATCTTTAATCGAGTTGTATGTGTTTTTAGGAGATCTGTTATATGAGTAAGAAAATAATCCCATGCTTGTTGAACTTCAGTTATACAATACAATTCGGCCCAATTAAAATGTATTAAATTATTTTTTAAATTTTTGTAATTAATCACATCTCTATAAT